TTTACTATATATATATATATATATATATATATATATATATAAGTATAGGGCACTATAAATTCATTTTCTTGTAGGCAGAACGGTTTTCTTGTTACAAGAACAGTGAGCTCTTAGTTAAAGAAAGTTTTCTTGTGTTCAGAATGGTTTTATTGCTACAAGAACAGATAGTTCTTAGTTCAAAAATATTTTTGTGGGTAGTTTTTTTCTTGCTACAAGAACAGTTATTAGCTCTCTAGTTTAAGAAATATTTTCTTGTGGTCATAATGGTTTTCTTACTACAAAACACCCCTTAGCTTTTATTCTCTTATGCTAAAGAAGCTAGACATTCTTTGCATAAGAATAATATTTTGGGTATTGGTTCATTAGCTGTAAAAAAAATTCTTAGAATAAAAACAATGTATGCAAGTCAAGATGATATTTCTGTGATGATAACAATTGACGGAAGCGTGGAATCGTGGAAATATTGTTATGTAATATTATGCGGTGCCCAGGCCATCCTCATACAAGGGGGCCTGCATGCCTTTTTTCGTAAGGCGTAATCGGGCATTTTTTGTCTTCGTAATCCGTGAACAGCCTCCCCCAAAATCAACGTAATTCGTAATTGCACATTAGCCACAAATCGTAGAGTCGTAATCAGCTCTGAGACTCATCAGCTCTGAAACGTCATTCGTAATCGGCGGCGAAAATTTTGCGTAATCACTATGCCACCCCCTGCCCCATGCAGGCCCTCACACATGTGTCTGTGTATTTACTGTGTGGTGACAGGGTAGGGGGTTCAATGCATGAGGGGCGAAATGTGGTCCCAGAAATGTAACTTTGTAAACTGTCTTGACATTGCCTGGAATATATCATGCACGCTATATCCTCTCCATTCCTCCGCTATTACGTGAAGGTGCGGAGGAACGCAACAGAGGAACGGAAATAGCGTTCACATATGAAATTCAGGGAAGGCATGAAGATGGCGTATACAGTTTGTTCTTTACGCTATTTACCTTTTAGCGACCGAAAGCAATGCTGTGTGTGTAAACTTTACACCCTCGTAAATCTTTATTATTGTAAGGCATTTAAGTTATAGTTGATAGCTGGCTTACATCATTCTTATGTCGCTTTGATTTCCTTTAAGCCGATAGTCACACATTGACTGACAGTTCAAATTTATGAGACAACGCGTACATACGTACGCAAGCTTGTGGGACCTATAGAGTAATTTTAAATGTTTTATGACAAAAAAGTAATTATAAAGGTGATCTACTTACATGTGCATCCATGCCCCACAACTGGAACACGGACTTCTTCTGCACTTCCCGCAGGGGTACGTTGCCTGGCGGTGGGACATGTTGGTACATCCACAAAGATAGGTTCACGATGGGTAAAAATGTGTCACATCCATTTTGAAGATATCCAAACCTGTTATCATTTCATCGTTGTGGCTAATAAATGAAAACAAACTTTGAAGGCTGTAACAGGACAGACGTATCAAGGCTATAGTCTGTCACTGTTTGACGCAATGTTCACTGATATATGCCATATATAGACTGTTTACCGTTAATGTTTTGACGTTTTTTTCCCGCGCGTTGGACACCTCCCTAGCAACAGTAACTAACAACACTAACGTTACCGTTAATGTGTTGACGTTTTTTTCCCGCGCGTTGGACACCTCCCTAGCAACAGTAACTAACAACACTGGAACCACAACACTGCCCCTTCCGTATTGCTTTTATTGTTGTACAACAAAGTTGTTGCGTACTCGGACGTAGTTAAAGAAAAAATATATATCGTAATAGGGCCGTAATAGGGTCAGGTAGATTAAACAACACCGTTTCACACATAATGTATCGGGCTGTCCAGGTGCCGAACCGTCCAGGCGGCTGGGTGCCGAACTATCCTGGGCCAGGTGCCGAACTGTCCTGGGCAAGGTACCGAGCTATTATGGGCCAGGTGCCGAACCGTCCTAGTAGGTGCCGAAGTGTCCAGGTGCCGAAGTGTCCAGGTGCCGAAATGTCCTGATACCCACGAGACCCTGGGTGTCCTGGACGTTGGACCCATGTTTATCTACGATGAACAACCGCCTTAAAGCGGCCATGAAAACATGTTGTCGTACTTCATTCTACACGAGGGAATTTGCCATCCAAATATTCTATGACTGACTTAAGCTTCGTATTAGTTTCGTTAATACTTGAGTCAAAAAGGATAGTTAAGGTGCATTCACACAGTCTTTTGTAAAATTTTATTATTATTGTTTTCGAGGACATGCAACACATCTTTCCGAGACTTTGACCTGCAGACGCACTAAAATGATGACTCTACTTCGGTCTGGTATCTTCTTCCTTGCCAAATTCTTGCATGCTACATAACTGTTCAAGATTTAAACCTGCACAGTCAGCCTTAGGGGAAAACCACAAATAGTTAGTTTCCTGCTGAATCAGTGCAGACTACGTGACAAAAAAGCTGACACTCATCGCTATTATTTGCTGACGGCGGCTGTTCGGCAGTACACTAGAGCATGTTTGCCTTGGACAAACGCCAGAATATAACTCACGGGTCTCAATGACCAGAACAAACAGTGGGGCAACACCATGTAAAGTTCCTCAACTGATAGCGCTCGGCGTAGGTCAGCGGGTGTTCGTGTTGTTTTTCTGCACAGCTCGTTTGCAAACCTTCTACAACAGCAACACATTGACTACGACCGTGACCCAACATGGCCACACCGTTAGCAGGTCAAATCGTACTGTTTACGGGAGTGGCTGCCTTCATAATTCTTCAAGCTTCCGCCCGAAACTCAGCCCAACAGGCGTCGAGTTTCCAAAACCAAGTGAAGAAATATCAAGACAGCCGAGCAGATATCGTCTTTCTGTTGGACAGCTCTGGAAGCGTCGGAGAGCATAATTTTCAGGTCATACTATGCTTTCTCCTTATCCCCGTCAACAATACTAATGATGTTTTCGCCATTTTTGCAGTTGTGATAGCGTGTAGCTGGTTCGGTTTTCAGACGGAGGTCATAAACAGACATTTATGGTTCTTGGTTGCGTCTTGGTGCCGAGGTGCACCTTTATTGCCATCTCGAGGTCTCTTTTAGCATTGCATCAGTTTGTGTTTTGTATTCAAGCATTAGAACTTGTAACTCCATGATTCAAGCTTGTCCACATCATGTCGACTAGTTGACCGAAATCCATCGGTTTGTATGTATATGAAGTGTAAACAGTAGTTCTGAGTGCTTTTATATAAACACTGCCATTTTACATACTCAACGGTTGTTCAACTGAGGGAGTATTTTGAAATATCATACTCCTTAGCTTGGTTGTTACCTTCGCCTAGAAGATTATGTTTTCACTAATTTCAGGGGCGTTCCTGAGTCTGGGTGTGGGTGTGTGTGGGTGTGAACACGATAACTCAAGAACGGCGGGATGGATTGTCTTGATATTTGGTAGGTAAGTAGGCCTTGATGAGACCTGGAACTGATTAGACTTTGGGCCCCCGGCAGCTTGTCATTGTACTGCAGCAGAACTTCCGGTTTTAATATCTCATGATCCAGGCATTCTAGGGTCACAAAATTTACATGGTAGATAGCTCTTGTGTTGGAGATGAAGTGACAGGAGTTTGAGCCCCCTAGCTGCTTGCTCTGGAACTGCAGGGGCGTTTGTTATAATAGCACAGTATATTGTTATAATAAGATATAATTCATGCAATTGAGGATCCTATTTGCATAATCAGGGGGATTAATGTAGGAAAGTCATTTGGTGAAGGTATGAGATCGTGGAACTCTAGTTTACTTCCTGTTTTGGGGATAAACGTTCATATGAAAAATGGGATGAGAAACGAGTATGTGAAGTGTATAATGAGATCACCAACTCAACGGATTACCAAAATTTTCGACTGAATCGCTCGGTCTTCCTCGGCTCGTGGTTTTGTGACGTCCACCCACCGAGGTTCTCTCTATGAGTAGAACAATTTTCAGTTGCTCATAACACATTTTACTTCCTTCTTTCTATTTCCTCAATTCGCTCTTTAACCCAACTACCAACTGCAGACAGAGATCACATTCGTGGAAAACTTTCTCAGCCAACTGACCATCAGTCCTCACGCCTCGCGAGTCGCCGTCGTGTCGTTTGACGACGTTGCCCGGACCCACATCGACTACATTAGGTCACCCAAGAACAAGTGCTCGTTTCTGAGGGAACTGAAGACGGTGAAGTACACTGGAGGGTCGACAAATGCTGACGACGCTTTCCGCTTGGCACAGGAGCTACTGCGGCCACGGTCTGCCTTCACACATGAGGCGCCGGTTAAACAAGTGAGAACTAACACATTTGTATTATACTATCATGAGAGTTCTCCTGTGTTGGTAGTTACATGTTTAAAGTTAAAACTTTTGGTCCAACACAAAAAAATTCTCTAACCTAGAGCTTTCGACCAGTCACTCTGGTCTTCCTCAGTAGTCTGTGAGTATTTTAGACACTGAACAAGACTATTTCTTGAGAGGGGTGAAAGAAGCCATATAGATCAGGGCCCATCACCCTTCCTTGAACCGCGACGGGGGCCGACATCGTCTACCAGATACCTTTGACCCAGTGTTGACGTCACACTTCAAAGAAGCCACGTGACAAGCTTCACTGGGTCAGTCTACTGAGGAAGACCAGAGTGACTGGTCGAAAGCTCTAGGTGAGAGAACTTCTTGTGTTGGACCAAAAGTGTTAACTTTAAACATCTAACTACCAACACAGATGAACTTGCATGGTAGTATAAGTGAGAACTGACTAACGCATTTGTATCATATTATTTTGTTTATTTGCTTATTTATCGTTTACTGCATGTCTTATACAATTTCAATCATTTGCAATGCTTCCAGTATAGTCTGAATATTTTCAGGGCTAAAATGACTGGTTTTGATTCGTACTGCAGCTAGGTTTACTGCAGCTGCTGCAATATTACAAATGTGGTATTTGACTGCAGTTTACAGTATGTGTATATTATTATGCCACGACACTGTACATTTTCCAATATTGCAGCAGCGACACCTAGCTGCAGTACGAATCAGAACCAGTTATTGATTGTTGCCCCCAACTTGATAACTTCTCGTTTTTTAGGTGGTGGTCTACCTAACGGACGGCAAGCCGGACAACGACAAAAATCCTGTGGGCAGGGCCAACAACCTCAAATCTGTGTACAATGCAGAGATATATAGTATTGGTGTCGGTAAGACCATCAAGAAATTGTTTTTTAACCTGCACTGGTGGTTAGAGTCCTGTGTTAAGCTTCGGTCACAAACCACCGTAAGTGCTTCTGCGTGCTGTCTACGTGCAAAAACGTGGGCAAACGTAGGGCATCCGTGCGTGGTGAGTACCACCTCCGTACGGAATCCTACGGATTTGGGAGCACGCAGACACGCCGTAGAACTTTAAGTGGATGTAAAACTTTTTCTGCGTTCGGTCTGCGGATTCACCACCCGTGCGTGCGAGTACGGGCGACGCGCGAGCCCTGTACGTACCGTACGGAAGAAGCACGTGTGAGCACGACCTCCTTACGGTAAGGTTGCAATCGCACAGAGATTGTACGTTGTAAGCACGTACAACTCTATTACCACTTGCGCAACGTACGATGCACGCAACCGCTCAGGCCAGACGTGGCGGCAGACCACACTCGTACATTTGCGCAACTGTGCGAGTGACGTGCGTCGATACCACTCCTTCCCCACGTTTTCAGTAAAACGCAGCAGACGTAGCCTCCCAAAAACGTACGGACAAAAAGCACGTACGGCGGGTTGTGACCGAGGCTCTAGGTCTTGTAAACCATTTCTTAATTATGTGAACCATGGGGTTACAACATGAACATATACTAGGCACTACTGAACTCAATTAGATTGTTTGTTTTCAAGGCGACAGCCCTAACAAGCAGCAACTCCACGAGTGTGCCACAGACGCGAGCCACGTCTACCTGTCTTCAGACTTCGTGGACGCAAAAGATCTCACGAAAAGAATTCGAGGAGGTGAGTATTATGAATTATTTTGTTCTTGATTATCTCGTTATTAGTTATTTTTTTAAATATTCCAACATATAATCTCAAGACGTGGTGACAGCACACTCAAGTTATATCAACTTATATTAATGCCGCCACCAACACAGGGGACAATACAAAAATCATTTTCACCTGAGCGAAGTGAGGAAAGTCGTGTAAAGTGCCTTTCCCAAGGGCACAAGATCGGTGACATGTCAGGACTCGAACCCAGGACCTCTTGTTTCTGAGTCGAGCACTCTGCCGCTACGCCACACGACCCCAGCATTAATTATTTGGCTTTTGGATTGGTACAACCTTTTAAATTGAAAGAAATTTTACCCGTACCAGTAGTACAGGGCTTTATCTAAAAAAAATCAAACTCTACTACTGGATAAATTACTTCCGGACGTTTCGAGAGGTCAGCAGTGTTGTTTCAGAACCTTCTTAAACGACAGGTAAGACGTGGCCACTCCAACTGTGGCAGGTAGGCCGTTCCAGGCAAAAGCTCCCCTATACGCAAACTTTCTTCGGCCAGATTCCAGTCGGACTTTAGGAAGTTTTAAAGATAAGTTTGAGTTGTGCCTAGTTTGGTAAATATGAGATGTTCTACAGAACACTTGTAGGTATTCCGGTACTTGTACTATGTATGATTTTTAAGCGCCCCTTATCTTAACTTGATTCCTGTTTGTACAGACTCCTACTCTAAGAGGTACGAGACTAATGGCGTGACGTCAGCGGACTGCTCGTCCCCAGGCTGTGGGGCGAACTCCGAGTGCGCATGCGGGTCGGCGACCGGGGAGTACGAGTGCGCCTGTAAGCCAGGATACTATGGAACCGGCAGAGGAGCACCGTGCACCCGTGTGTCTGAGTCTACTTCAATCATTTTTTTAATAATCTTATACCTAATCTTTTAAATCTTGTTTTAAAGGGGCATTATGTAACTTTTTGCACCAAAAATCACCAAATCTTTTGTTTTAAGGAATATTCGTGTGATTGCAATTTACTTCCATTTTTAACATATTTGTGCAATTATCTCACATGACATTTTTAATTGGCGCTAAAACAGTCCATATGAGGCGCACTCAGTTTATGGTGCCACCCCAAACTACTATAATGTAAACAAACATGGCAGGCAGCTCCATACAAGATTTTAAACTCACTCGTATGGAGTCAGATCTTGGCATCTCTACCTCCTGAATTACACTTATTTGCAATTGAGTAGGGTTGATTCAGCTTACTTTGTAAAGAAATGTCGAGAAATTGACTTTTTGTGTTGCCTAAATGTTACATAATGCAGCTTTAAACAAGATTGTTATAATAATTAGCTTTGAAATACAAAATACAAAAAAAGGAGGTAATGACATTGTGACAAAAAGGGCTAAACGTTCAGGCCAACACTTTAGAACTTACCCAAATTTTCGGCCGACTCCGTCAGCCTTGATCACCGAATCAACCCGTCTACTGCAGCTTCCGGGACGTGACATCCATGAACAAGGCTGACGGCTTATGCATGGGGCATCAAAACTCACCTACCTGAAGTTTAGACCATGAAAAAATAACATTGACGAAACAAACAAATCATGGTACAAACGAGTACCTTGATACGAGTATACCTCAAGGACATCAAACTAACGTGATCTACATGACATGATTGTACGTTAATCCCTCACACTCTCCAAACCTTGTCCTTCCTCCAGCGTGTCCGAAAGGCCGCTACAAGGAACTCCTGGCGCCCAGCGTGTCGGGATGCCCGGGGACCTGCCCGGCTAAGAGCAGCACCAAAGGCACGGCGTCCACCAGTCCCAACCAGTGTGTCTGTAACGAGGGGCATGAAGGAAACCCATGGGGCTCAGGGTGCAAACGTAAGGAAACAACGTTAACATGAGAAGATATCTATAAACTCAGAGCTAAAATACCACAATAACATGTACTGCATATCGTCTAAACAGACTTTAGTACATGTACAGTCTATTGTGGTCTAGATAATGTTGATGGTAAGCAACATGGATGTTTTAGCAAAAACTTTCAGATCGTTTGTCGTTAGGTTGGTCCACTGTCACTGTCATAACAGGTGGATTAGTAAGGATGTGTCTTATATTAAGGTTGCCATTGGAGTGTCATGATATCTGACTGCATAGAATGGGCATGTCAAAGAATGAGGCATTAAACTCGCTAATCATCATACAGCCGAAATAACCAGTCTCTCGTGATTATAGCCTGGTGTCCAGCCTTGTTAGCTTTAGTCCGCTACCCAAGATCGGTGGGGAGCGGATCTTGGATAGCGTACTAAAGCTAACAAGGCTGGGCACCAGGCTATCGTGATTATGCAACGTGACGGGATGATTTTAACCCATGTTGCTTTGATGAACAGCTGTTCGCTGTGATCCCAGACTGGAGGCTCCTGATGGAGGAACCGTGCAGCCAGCAAACTGTAACAACGAGTATCTCACCACGTGCCAATTCCAGTAAGAGTCACTTACAAAGTTACCGTCTTTCTTTTGTGCAGTTGTAGCATTTTCCTTTGAGATTATCAAAGAAAGTGAAAAAATTAGCAAAAGTTAGATTCAACTTATCTTGAAAGTTCATCTGTGTTGATAGAAGTCATTATGCAGCAAGTTTAAAATGTAATTTCCAACACAAGAAATTGGACTCACCCAAATTTTCGACTGTACAACACCAGTCTTTGTCAAGGAATGAACAATCCACCGCTTCCGTGACGTCACGCAGGTAACAAACGTGACTCCGTGAGCAGTAGATCATAGGTTGCACGAGGGGTTAAAGAGGCCATCTACATCAGGGCATTACAACCATCTCTCAACAGAGACGGGGGGCGCCACAGACTTTCTGCAATTGTGTTGGAAATTAGATTCAACTGTACACATGAATGTATGCATGCATTATATAACCGAGGTGTACAAGTTGGCTTATTTGGGATTAATAGGTCACTGGCCAGGCGTTACGCCACCGTAAACACCTCAAAATGACTACTATACCCGCCATTACCAAGTATCATCAGGATTCATTAGATATGCTGTACTCATACAATCAACAAATGCTTGAAAAAAAACTGCAGTACCGTAAAAAGCAAAACACCTGGTGGACTATTTTTGACCTTGACCTTCGTATTTACAACAGCTACTGACAGACCAAATAACAAAAAGATCAATCCACAACTATTCGAGTTATGACGTTGACTTCCATACAGACCCACATCACAGCCACTCCACCAAGCCTAAAACATAGCCTTCTGACGAAGGTAAATAGATGAACATTCAGAAGAATTAGACGGTTGATAATGTACTGTGTTTTCCCAGATGTAACTACGGGTACAAAATGTTAAGTGGAACACCGGAAAGAACGTGTCACGCCAACAAGACCTGGAGTGGAGCCCCCGTCATCTGTCAGAGTACGTACAAACACTTTTCTTCAATATCATGAAAGTTCATCTGTGTTGGTAGTTACATGTTTAAAGTTAAAACTTTTGGTCCCACATAAAAAATTATCTCATCTAGAGCTTTCGAGCAGTCACTCTGGTCTTCCTCAGTAGACTAACCCAGTGAAGCTTGTCACGTGGCTTCTTTGAAGTGTGACGTCAACACTGGGTCAAAGGTAGCCACGTGACAAGAAGCCACGTGACAAGCTTCACTGGGTCAGTCTACTGAGGAAGACCAGAGTAACTGGTCGAAAGCTCTAGATGAGAGAACTTTTTGTTGGACCAAAGATTTTAACTTTAAATAGGTAGAAACATGTTTTGTCAATGACTTCAATGTCTTCAAACTTATATGCCATTTCTTTGACACACAAATAACAGGTAGCTGATCTTCACAATGTGTTGACAAGACGTAGTGTACTTGTTAACAGCGAGGTCAAAATGTTTTTATTTTTCAGAACCAATAAACACCGTTTTGTGTGCCTTTCAGCTTATATTGATGAAGGTCAAAGGATTGTGTTGGTGCTTTGCAATCAAGTAAATTTGCACACCAAAATATCCTCGTATGTGCTTGCTCTGTGCATGTATCAGAGAAAACTCGAGAGTTTTTAAAAGAATATACACATTTTATCATGGTGATAGGCTCCGTTTTTCTGAAAAACAATCATGAGCAAATAGTCATCTTTCACCCTTACATGAGAAATATTCGAATGTTCTGCACAGGAATAGAGTGCCAGGGTCTACCTGAGCCGTCAGACGGTCAAAGGGCATGTGTGACGTCAGACGGTCAACAGGCGACTGGAACATATCCTTATGAAACCACTTGTACATTCACCTGTAACAAAGGATACACCTTACAGGTACGTATCTAACCTCTGTACACTACACAAAAAGTGGTACTTATCAATGAAAAGTTTATTGCAAATTCGTGACCGAAGGCTAATTGCAAATTACAAAACATAAAAGAACAATGACATAGAGTATAAAATAACTTAAGTCTACATGATAAAGGTAGCTGTCTAGAACTATAAATATGTCTAAAACTATATCTGAAGGGTTTGACTTCTGTTCTGTAAACCATGAAAGACGTAATGTCCCACCTTTTCCAAAATTTGTGGGTTTGGGGAAGTTAAAAGAAGAATAGTTTTTTCTTGGTCCGTAAGTTTAGTAAAATTGGGATAAATTGTAGAAGTTTCAGTAGTCAATTCAATAAGAATAGATGCCTGATACCTGAGTATACATGATACCAAACATTGCTTTCTGATGGAGATGTTAAAGATATTCACTTAGGCTACTAGTAGGTATTCTAACCGAATATTTCTTGTGCATGATGTGTCATACACATGATACGAGATGCAACCGTATATCTATGCAAATGATTTGGACTAAAAGTAGACTGGCTACATATCCATGTCTGTTTCATGACATGAGCAAATAGAGACCATTACAGGGTCAATATGTCATTTTCTTTTCTTTAATCCAATACTATATTACTGGTGATATTATAGGGGAGCAAGGTACGGAGATGCTTACAAGAGGGGAAATGGGACGGCTCAAAGGCAAAGTGTCTCGGTATGTGTCATACATAGTACACAGTATATACTGTTTGTTTTATTTATTATTTTATTATCTTATTGTTTATTCATTATTTGCACGTATCAAAAAGTTACATGATCAAACAATAACAATAAGAGAATATGCGGGGTAGGCCAGAAACCTAGGTGGTTTATTAAAGGGCCTACCCCAAACAAAGGTAACTATGATACATGACGAAACATATTTGAACTAAACATCAAAATTAAACAATGAAATAATTGATTAATTAAACAAAATCAAGACACAGAAATAATAACTGAAGTGTGTAAACTAGTTTTTTACATCTACGAAAAGAAATTAAATAAAAGTCTTATTAGTCAGGTCGCTGTTGCAGAAATAAACCGATAAGATAATAAAAATAAAAATATACGAAAAATCAATTTAAGTAGCAAAATAATAGAAAAATAAAAGCGTTTATCATTTCTTGGCTTTATTTTCCTCTTTGGCCACTCCACTTCTTATGGAAATTTTATTGATGTGTAGAATTTTGTAATGAAAGAAGGGCACGTTATTAGTATAGCCACATGGCATTTGAACAAATGAATAAACAATCTTTGACTTTGGTACGCCTTTCCTTCCAAGTGACTCAAGGAGTGTTCCTGTACATGGCTATTTCTTTAAACTGACACGATACATAGAACTTTATTAACACAACAAAAGTACAGCGACTTTCATAAGGTCTAAAACTGCATGTAGACATACAAATACATGGGCAGAACGAAAATAAACTACATACAAAACAATAGATGAGTCAACTAATACTACTTGTTCTAAGGTCTAGACATTCTTTGATATATTTACCTATTTCTACACAGTAAAGGTTATTGCCTTCTAGGATGAAATTAAATTTATCTATAGCATGAAATGTAACAAATTCTGATGAGCAAGCGGAGAGAATGTTGGACAGCTTTGTGCGTTTATCGTTATATAGTGTACATTTCAAAATAAAATGTTGTTCGTCTTCAATATCTTTGGAACAGAATGGACATATGTGGTCAATGTGATACACTCTGTCTAGATCTGATTTTATTCGTTAAGTTTGGCATTACAAAATATTCCTTGCTAGCAAGACACAGGGATAGTTATTCTTTTTTGAATACACATACAGATGTCTCTTTTTCTTGTCAGTTAAAAAGTGTGACGCCTTACCGATGGTGGTAAACGCCACCGTGAGTCCGTCCTCCTGTGTTAGTGAGGCCCAGAAGTTTGACACGGCCTGTCAGTTCACCTGCCAAGATGGCTACAGGATGGACGGAACTGCCAACAGAGTTTGTCAGGAAGACGGCAGCTGGTCCAACCGACAACCATCGTGTATAGGTACGTGTTACGTTTTCATACTTGCGGTAAGGCCACACCAATTTAATTTCTTGGTTAACGGATTTTTCTAGAAAAATAATGGAGCGGGCGGGCAAATAAAAAGTAAGAAAAACAGGCCTAGGCGTCCTATTATGGCCCAAAATGGTACGATAGGAGCCATGAAGTCAACACACCAGGCTGGTTCAAAATTTAAACAATGAATTTTGAACTTTTAATGATGCCAATGCATTGAAAGATGGAATAACTGTAACAACTAGGATGAAAAGGACTGTTTTCAACTGTTCAGGGCAAAAAAATGAGCATTTTGCAGTTGATTCTGAATTTTTATTTTTATTTGCAAATCAGAAAAAAATGAAGCGGGCCAATCCGTTAACTAAGAAATTAAATTGGTGTGGCCTAAGTGGAAAATACAATAGTTTGCAACTCTCAACAAAGAGGTACATGTCGGGACACAACACGGAGAAAATTTACCTGACCGACACTAAGATAACTACTCATCAGCTCCCAAAGGCCTGGATGGGTTCATACTACTACATTCCACAAGGTGGCGTTACGGCAACGATACGGTCCTAAACGTGACAAAGCTATTCTTGCAAGGATGGGCTTGTTTTAATATCGGATCACCTGCAAGCAAAAACATTCACGTCACCTGTATAAAGCGTTAGTACATTGACTGATCTTTGTAAAAGGTATCGAAATAAAGGTGATGTTAGCATGGAAGTTGATATGAGTAAAATACAATGTGAGAAACTTAAAACTGTTCTCCAACCAAAGAATCACTCAGTTAAAGTTTCGAGTAATTCATGAGTTGCAGAACAGTTAAAAGTTTTTTTTATAATATGCGTTATATGATAGACATCATGATGTACCATAATCTTCTATATAGATGACCAGTCGCCACGCCTGGTCATCGGCTGTCCAGCGGACATCGTGAACAGTACAGAACAGGGTCAGAACTACCTGACTGTCGACTGGACAGTTCCTGCAGCTGTAGACAACTCGGGGAAGACACCCAAGATGACCGTGACGCCGGCTGGCATCAAACCTCCTCACAAGTTTCCCATCACAACTGGGCTGCCGACTGTTGTCACCTACACATTCACTGATGACAGCGGCATGGCGAGCTCTTGTGGATTCGAGGTCAACGTTTTGGGTAGGTGTTATTTTCTTCACCCTTTGCAATTTTTATCTACATGAGTTGATAGCACTCGCATCAATGTTGGTTTATTTATTTATTTGTATCAACAGAAGCATAACTTGCAGCCGTGACGAAGGCCGAATTCCGATGCTAGTTTACAACATCAATCATTGACCAATGATAGTAGAGTCATTAATACAAATTACAATTACATCTGAATCGACAGATTAATCACTTTGGCTCAATGAGATTAAATATTTACAATAATACCTTGTATCAATAAAGGTTATTAACATAAAATTACAGTCATCATCATCGTAAATTAGTTATTGGGCTACAAGGAAGTAGTGTTGGATGTGTAAAGACCAAACGATCAAAAAGCTAACCTCCAAGAACTCAGTGATGAACTCCAGCATTTCAAGAAGATAGTTTGATCCGTATTCCATTTATCTCATCTTCTTTTTCAATAGATACGGAGAAACCTAAGCTTATTGAACATTGTGTGAATTACAAAGTGGAAACAAACGACGAAACTGTAAAAGTGGACTGGACTGAGCCGGTTTTCACTGACAACTCCAAACAACCTGTGAGAGTGAACTGTGACAAGGACAGCGGACAGCGTTTCTATTGGGGGACGGCCTGGGTCACGTGTACAGCACGTGATAGCCACGACAACTCCGCCGAGTGCCGTTTCTCCGTCACCGTAAGCCGTAAGAGAATGTTTGAAGAATTATAAATTCCTGGTAGCAGATCCTCTCTATAAATTGCTCTCTATTAATAAAGCAGATCTAAATGTTTTTTTTGCTAAGTTTCTTGTTCTTCTTCTTCCGTTTCAAACAAAGTCATAACCTGGGCCAGACGTCTGTCACCATGGTAACCGGGGCTGTAGTAACACGCTGAGGTGTTAGGTTACATTATGTAGAACAGAGTTGAAGAGGTTGCTCACCGTACATATGAATGTGAGAATAAACAGTGAAGTACAGTAACTGTTACATTGTGCATTTGCTTTACAAATGTTACCGTTCTAGTTCATAACAAATTGTACAAGATACAAGGTATCATATCTGTTACTGTGTCATTGTAATTTTTCAAAATGTTCTATATTTCAGCTACGTCATGCCCCCACCAAGATCCACCAATCAACGGCGCGCTCTCGTGTGACGACTTTCAGTCCGGTCAGTTCTGTACCGTGCAGTGTGATCAGCGATTTGACTTCCACACCGAACCGGCTCGTATGTACATCTGTGGGTCTGGGAACTGGAGAACAGATCCTCACGGCATGGACACCAAATGGCCAGATTGTTCTTGTACGTACATGTCATACTATCATCGATCTTAGTTATGTTTACCGAAGAAAAAACATCTTGTTTTTGCTCAGTTTCTTCTTCCTCTTCTTCTCCAAACACTGACCTCTGACCTGAGCCTATGCTGTTTCTGTTGCTATGGTAACTAGTTTTGGGTTATATCATGTTGCAATTTTATAGCAGGAGGGATTTAGACTCCTGTCTGACAATATATATTAATGTGACCATATGCAGACCATATGTGAAGGTAAACATTATGTATTTGCCTTGCAAATGTTACCTTTCTAGTTTGAAACTTCGTCTGCTTTTAATTTAATTATTAGAAGTTACAAATTATTATGGAAGAATTGGAGTTACCCAAATTTTCGACTGTATCACACACGTCTTTGTCAAGGAACGAGTCAAAAGATTCTATGGCGTCACTTCATAGACCTGAATAGTGACGAAGGACGCTACAAACTACCTGTGGAATCTGCGTGAAGTGAAGACAGTGAATCGGTAGATTCACCCCTTGACAGATGACGTACGTACAGTTAAAGATTTGAGTAAGTCTAATATGAAGTTTAAACTTCTTCAAAATAGCCGTCAGGCCTTAATGAGGCTAGCCTCTACCAGGCTTGGGGAGACGGCTGGAAAGATTAGAAATCGGCCAAATAGAGAGATAAGCATGCTAAGGGAGTTTGTCCGTTCAGCCGGCGAAATGTTCTCTTAACGAACAAACTCCCTTGCCTGCCATGCTTATCTCTCTATTTGGCCGATTTCTACTCTTTACAGCCTTCTCCCCAAGCCTGGTAGAGGCTATAATAAGGCCTCAGAGCTTATAAATGGACAGATAAAAACTACAACAACGACTGCCAGGGTTTGAGAATTCGCGTAAACCATGTTCTTTTTTCCATGGTTGCAGTGAAACGAATTCCAGGGTTCTCCAAAGGAATCGAGTTCCAGTACTACCTTGGAGACTGTGAGGACGAGGAGACTCAGAAGTATATCAAACAAAACTTTATCGACCTCTTCAACAGCACGGTGTTTGGGAGGTACGGCGGTTGTGTAGGTGAGTCCAACATTACCTCGACTCTCTGAGCAGCAAGAGATGATTATGAAGACAAATACCGAATATATAATGTGTTCTGGTCGTAAAACTACCAGGAAGATTGAGGGATTTGGGTGAAAATTTCGTTAACTGCTTTAAGTAGTGCGACCGGTGCAATAGCTCAATTGGTAGAGTGCTCGCTTTGTAACCGGGAGATCGTGAGTTCAAACCCCTGCCGGGTCATACCAAAGACTTTAAAAATGGTACACACTTCTTTCTCTGCTTAGCACTCAGCACATATGAGAAAGAGTGTGGGAAGGTCAAACACACAGCACTACCAGCGGACTAGCCCCCTGCTGTAGTGCCCTGCACAATTGTGTGTCGCCCAAGGGCTACGGAAATGGAAATGGGCACCAAAACCCTAGTATGCTCTGTATAGAGCACGGGTAGACCTTTTTTTAAGTAGGAGAACATGTACAGTTTAAAGTTTCTCATCATGAATTCCATCCCGTTGGACTGTAAACAGGCAACGTGAAATGTAGAGTGGAGAACGTGGCCCTGTCGTGTAGTGAGGAGGAAGTGGAGGTCCCAGAGGAAGGCGCGGGACTGGACGGACCTTCCAGGAGAAGACGATCCTTAAAGGAACGGGCAAGACTTCTTACCATTCGCCTCGACATCAAGACGCAGTACAAGGTACCGTATTTGATGTCATTATACTAGATTCTTAAGACGAATATTTCGTAAACTGTGTATTTTGCATGTAGATTTCCAGTGACTCAATGGAATAAGGACGATAGTCAGTGCATATTTATTCATGTGTTGTTTACAATAGTAATAAGAATGGTTTATTTGAAATTTCCCTCACACATGTCACACTTGCAGTCCTAAGACTGAATTATGGTGACAGTACATACATACATTATCATAGACTTATACAATTATTACTAAAGGTTAAAAATTATGAACTAGAGTTCCTCGATCTCATACCTTCGCCAAATGATGTTAATCTTTATGGCTGACAAATTATTGTGCCATTCTATTGTTTCCTCATAAATTATGCAAATAAGGTCCTGATTTGAATATATTATGTTTAATGATGTTTACCTTCACTGAACTTTCACATACCACATGTATAAAAATTCCAGGCAGTCATCATTACAGAATTATAACATTTTCTCATTAATTATGCAAATTATGTCCTCATATACATAATCAATATCTGCCTGTGTTTCTCTCCTTCTCAATTACCAATCTCACAAGCTTCAATAGTCTTATCATGGAATGCAGCTGGTTTATAGAATCTCCCCATAAATTATGCAAATCACATCCATATTTGCATAATTGTCATATAATTATATCAAGCATCATGAAAGCTACCTACATACCAAAAATCAAGACGATCCGTCAACCGGTTCTTGAGTTATGCTCTTTTTGATATTTTAAAACAGATAGCCCTGCAGTTCCAGAGCAAACTGACGTCACTTCTTCCCCAGCACAAGAGCTACCTACCATTTAAATTTCGTCACCCTAGCATGTCTAGATCATGAGATATCAAAACCGGAAGTTCAGCTGCAGTACCATAAGAAGCCGCCAGGGGGCCCAAAATCTAATCAGTTCGAGCTCTCATCAAGACCTACCCACCTACCAAATATCAAGATAATCCATCTAAGTTTTCTTGAGTTATGCTGTTGACAGACAGACAGACACACACACACACACACACACACGGCCATGAAAACATAACCTTCTCCAATTCTTGGCGAAGGTAATTACAACTACAATTTATGTACAGTCGAAGTGTACAATGTATAATAAAACTAGTACAATGCGTTGGTTAATTAAAAGGTGGACATTCGCGTGCTATATCAAATTATTAAAATCTTTAAAAATATTTCTATTTATACTAAGTAACTATAAATAAGAGGGGGTCATATAATAAAGTTCACAGTGTTGACTTATGTGTCCTGCTCGTTCAGGAGGATTGTCATATAGGGGATAGGACGTTTTTAGTATCTGTTCGTACGTGCTTTAACAGAGTCAAGTAGATGTGATGATCACATATAGCAGTGATTTGTTTTGCCATGTTGTATTTCATGTTTACAGAACTCAAAGTCTATACAGGGAGGAACAAAAGAGGTCAAGAAGAAAATAGGGGAACTTAAAGAGATCCTGAACGGAGTTGTGGAGAAGGCAAAGCAAGATGTGCGGGTAGGTTTTTATATTTATTTCATTTGCACAGTAATTAAAAATAATTTGAAATGGTAGACAAATTATATACAACAAATTAATGTGCAAGAGGGGGCAGAAAGCCTTCAGGGCTTGTACAAAAAGTTCTCCCTCAACACTTAACCGGGACGGGGGCCGACATCGTCTACCAGATACCTTTGTTGACGTCACACTTCAAAGACGCCACGTGACAAGCCCCACTGGGTCAGTTTACCGAGGAAGACCAGAGCGACTGGTCGAAAGCTCTAGCTGAGAGAACTTTTTGTAGTAGATCAAAAGTTTTGGGGTCGTGTGGTGTAGCAGCAGAGTGCGCGACTCGGAACCTAGAGGTCCCGTGTTCGAGTCCTGACATGCCACCGATCTTTTGCCCTTGCGAAAGGCACTTGACACGACTTTCCTCACTTCGCTCAGGTGAAAATTAGTATTATCCTGTCATGTATTTGTCCCTGTGTTGGTGGCGGCATTGATATATGTTGATAAAACTTGAGTGTGCCGTCACCACGTCTGATTACATGTTGGAATAAAAAAAAAGTTCTAACTTTAAAAATGTTGTATTTGATTGACATGTACGAGTTTGTTCCCAGACAGGACAGCTGAGTGACATGGCCGTGACAGCAGGTGAAGGGCGGAGAAGTCAGCTGGTGTCAGTTGCCCGAGTGAGCGGTCCGACAGGAGAAGACGTGGGGATAATAGACCTGGACACGGACGCGGTTCTGAGCTGTGACAGAGGACAGATTCTGAAGGAAGACTTTTGTGGTAGGATAGTAGTATCTGTATTTGTATCTGTATAGCCGGTATAACCACCCTTCGGCGTAACACACCAACTTCTGTATCTGTATATAGCCGGTACAACCACCCTTCGGCGTAACACACCAACTTCTGTATCTGTATAGCCGGTATAACCACCCTTCGGCGTAACACACCAACTTCTGTATCTGTATAGCCGGTATAACTACCCTTCGGCGTAACACACCAACTTCTGTATCTGTATAGCCGGTACAACCGCCCTTCGGCATAACACACCAGCTTCGCAGGTACGCGGAACGGCGGTAGCTGGCTACATTACACCGTTCAACTTGTTTCACCTAACCTTTGAACATCCAACTCTAGACACTGTTTAAAGCTATCTAATGACAATGCCCCTACTGTACCTGGTGACAGCGAGTTCCACTCTGCGATACTTCTAGGAAAGAGTGAATTAGTAGTAAGACAATAATGAGATGTATTGCATTCCAAAACTTGCTCCATTCCAAAACATACCATGCCAATACTATGGAATGATTAGCACATTTGGGAATTCTAAAACGTGCTCCATTCCCAAAGTTGCCCTGGCAACTTTACCGAAAGCATCCCAAAGCATCCTCTGGCAAACCATGTCTCTCAATATTGCAATGTTCTAAAAAGTATGAGTTGGTGATTATTTCTTCGACCAACTCTTGACGCCTCTTTGAAGAGGATTCAGATAGTTGATCTACAGTTTAGAAGGTGATGAACATCGCTTGAAGCATTCATGACAAACGTAAGATATTTTACGTACTATCTCCTGACCACTTATGGTCGAATTCTTGTCTTTGAAAACGCAAAATGAAGTGTATGCAGCGGAATCAGGACGACTCGGACCAATACCAACTCGGCCCATCGCAAATTTGGTCAACTCGGCCCACTGCCGCCCTGGTCAACTCGGCCCACCACCAAATCAACCATGTTGACTATGAGATTTTTTGAAGTCCCAAACCACCGATGCTTGAGCAATCAACATGATTTTATAGAGACCACGTCTTTTTTTTAGACAACTTCGAACTGTAGACTTTGAGGTTGTTTTTTTTTTTTAAGTCAAACCTCGCCTGCGCTTGAGCAGTTTTTTTTACAAACACATACATTAAAATGTACTTCTCCATACAGTTGACTGCCCGGTTGGAACCTACTACACTGATGTCAGTGGCGAGGCTACGTGCGACGTTTGTCCGCTGGGCTCCTATCAGGACGAAGAAGGACAGACCGAGTGTATCCAGTGTGAGCCGGGATTCTTCACTGCAGGCAACAACAGCAAGAACGCGACAGACTGCAGGGGTAAGACTGTTTTTCCATCACACCAATGAGATAGAATGTTTCACTTGTTTGTGTTCTTCATGATCATCGGCAACGGGCATTTCAGGACATCGGCCTGTCTCTGTGGTTTATTTGCAGCTATTGTTGTAAAACACATGGCGTTTCTCAACTGAGTTATTCAATAACAAATAGTTCAATGATATAATATGCATTACCATATTGACCCTACAAACATATTGATAGTTCATAAGAAATACGAATCCAATATCAGTGCTGCTTTTGGTGTCAATGAAATATTGTATCAGACGAACAACAATTAACATTATTATGTTAGCAATGGTGTACAAAGCGTAATGTGTTGAAGTAGCATTTCATGACTTACTAAAACACCGTCCAGAATAACATCACCCTGAATGCTATACCTTCCTACAGGTCAATGTCCACCGGGGGCATATTCAGAAACGGGATTAGAGACCTGCATGTTCTGTCCAAAGGGCACGTATCAGAACCAAGAGGGAGCCACTGAGTGCATCGCCTGTGAGGAGGGCACAACAACGGGAGAAGTGGGCACAGTGGACAAGGACGACTGCAGTGGTCAGCTAGCTTCACATTTCACACCAACAGTGTAACGTGTAGAAGTAACATGCCTACTGCCTTGTCAATGGACGAACAAAATATTAGTGGCAGGATTACGATATATAGAGAGTTTATTGCAAATACTTGCCCGAAAGGCTAATTGCAGATACAAACAACATAAGAAAGAAAATACAGTGGTATGTGAGACTATATCTACGTCTAGCATTATACTATATTCTACAGCATACATGGTACTAGTTTTTAATACTGGGTTTGACTTCTTCTGTTTAGGCAATAGAAGACGAATTTACCCACTTCTTCTATAATATGTAGGTTCTTTGATGTTTCAAGTTTTATGTTTGGACAGGACAATGTGGACATAGTCCACTCCTACTGCTACTTGGGCCTGATATATACTCTAGTTGGTACTACAAAGAAGTGTGGATTAATTCCAGAGGCTAGCCGACATCTCTCATACATATAGCCCTCAGCAAGACATATGGAGCCGCATAGTTTAACCATTTGTCAGGCTGAATAGGAGATGTAAACGGGAACTATACGGCTGTAGATGTACTGATGGGCGAATGTTGAATCTAACTTTATACTTTAGTAGGTAACCGTCTAATTGTAAATCAAAATGTAATTTAATTCAATCTTATCTAGTTTAAAGTTAAAACTTTTGGTCCAACACAAAAAAATACTCTCACTTAGAGCTTTCTACCAGTCACTCTGGTCTTCCTCTGTAGACTGACTGGGTCAGTCTACTGAGGAAGACCAGAGTGACTGGTTGAAAGCTCTAGGTGAGAGAATTTTTGTGTTGGACCAAAAGTTTTAACTTTAAACATGTAACTACCAACACAGATGAACTTTCATGATAGTTCAATCTAATCTAATTTAATCTCACTACCGTAAACGTCACTGTCCATTTTACAGGGCCATGTGTGCCCGGCAGTTTCTCCCGGACCGGTACAGATCCGTGTGCCCTGTGTCCAGTCGGCACGTTCCAGCCCGGACATGGTCAAACCGAATGTTTGTCCTGTCCTCTGGGCACGGGGACAGACGCAGTGGGGTCGGAAGCGTCCAGCGACTGCGTTGGTGAGTACATCTTATCATATATAATGATGGTAAACCTGAATTTGGTACATTTCATTTTGTTGCACTATTATCATGCTCTTTAACTCCAACCATTTTTGCTCTTTGTATTATTATATCATGCTCTTTAACTCCAACCATTTTGCTCTCTGTGTTAACGTACTGGGTTATTGGTACTGTTTATATGCCAACTTCACTTTTGACCATGAATGATATAATCAACAGAAAGCTTTAATCTTTTGTGACATTGTGTAAATAGTAGTCACGAGGAACTGAAATCAAGTGGTTGATTCTTACTCTAAAAAGAAATGGAATCCTTTAAACCAAGACGATTGAAACATTATTTTTGTATTCTCCTTTTCCTCAGAACTTGACTACTGCCAGTCCTTCCCCTGCCAAAATGGCGGATCGTGCAGCATGCAGGGGTCAGAGTTCAACTGCCAGTGCCCAGCCGGGTTTGAAGGCGACATGTGTGACGTCAATGTAGATGAGTGCGCGGCAATGCCGTGTTACTCCTTAGCTACCTGCTTGGATAGAGGTATCAGGATGTTCGAAACGATTTTGTCCTTGATAGCTAAGACAAGCTTCTTACCAACATATCAATGGGATTCTACATTTTTCACATCTTTGTTTGGCATTATCTTTAGGTGTTAAAGTTTGATGGAGTTAACATGTGTTTTTGGTTGTTGTGGATGAAAAGTATCTTTATATGAAGGTCTTCGTGATTCGCCATGTTATTTTGTTGACTCTTGTGTTTCCCGATGATCTAACCGTGTTACTTTGATATTGCGTTTCTCCTGACAGTTAACGGATATGAGTGTGTTTGTGCTTCCGCGTGGAGTTAATGTTTGTTGTTGTTGATGGTGGTGGTGGTAGTGGTGAAATATATCTGTAAATAAAGGTGCCGATGATCTAACCATGTTACTTTGATGTTTAAAGTTAAAACTTTTGGTCCAACACAAAAAATTCTCTCACTTAGAGCTTTCGACCAGTCACTCTGGTCTTCCTCAGTAGACTGACCCAGTGAAGCTTGTCACGTGGCTTCTTTAAGTGTGACGTCAACATTGGGTCAAAGGTATCTGGTAGACGATGTCGACCCCCGTCGCGGTTCAATGTAGGGTGATGGACCCAGTGTTGACGTCACACTTCAAAGAAGCCACGTGACAAGCTTCACTGGGTCAGTCTACTGAGGAAGACCAGAGTGACTGGTCAAAAGCTCTAGGTGAGAGAATTCTTTGTATTGGATGAAACGTTTTAACTTTAAACACGTAACTACCAACACAGATGAACATTCATGATAGTATGCTACTTTGATCTTGTGTACATGTGTCTCTTGACAGTTAACGGATATGAGTGTGTTTGTGCTTCCGGTTGGGCCGGTGAACGGTGTGACGTCAACATCGATGAGTGTGCGCCTGCGCCGTGTTTGAATGGAGCAACTTGTGTTGATGAGGTATGTATATTATTAGTTCTATACCACCATTAGATATTTATGTTATTATGAACAAAGCACGCAGGTGATACATAATCTGAAATATTTTGCAAAATGATTGTGTTTGATAACTGCGTTTAATTACAAAGAATGGGTGGCACTTTTACGTTCAAAGAAGTATTTCAACAGGATTAAGTCATTATGCTTAGCGAAATGGCAAAGAAAGAGGTTTTTTGGACTATTAAATGCAAATGTTATATATCTAATTAAAGTCAATGGCGATTAAAAGTTAAAGGTTTTAGAATGTTGAGAAGTTGTGATGAACCCCTTGACAGGACAACGGGTTCCTGTGCCTGTGCGCGGATGGATACAGCGGTACGTTCTGTGAAGTCAACATTGACGACTGTAGTGACAGCCCGTGTAACGACACCGCCGTGTGTGTGGACCTGGTGGACAGTTTCCAGTGCCTGTGTCAGGACGGCTACACCGGAAAATACTGCGAGGTCGACATCAACGACTGTGAGGCCGAACCCTGTCAGAATGGCGGAATGTGAGCACATTTCAAAATCTTTTTTTCTTAGAGCTTTCTTGATTTGAAGCACGTTTTTTAAGGTAGGCACAGGAAAATAGGTTTTCGAATGTTTTATTTATTTATTAATTTATTTCATTTAGCACATACATACATAATGAAAAATTATACAAAAATAATACGAAAGAAATAAATGTGCAAGGGCAGGAAGAAAAGCCGCAATGGCTTATTTAAAGTCCTCCCCTTCATGATTTTGCAATTTCTACAATAACAATGAAGAAGTAATAAAAAGATAGTAAACAAATAAAACGAAAAAATGAATTAATTTAACAAAATAATTAAGTTCAGCATATTAAGTAATGAAACAAAACGCTGAGCCAAAGTAGATAAGTAGGATTGGCTACAAGAAGATGAAAATATAACGAATCATTAAATTAGTCAATACATATATCAAACAATATAATGGGAAAAGTATGAAAACGCTGTATAGAAAGATATGATTTGAATTTTAACCAGACCTAGGGAAGGTCTGGTTAAAATGGTTAAAAGGAATGGTGGCTAGCATATTAAGCATCAACCAATACAATATCAATACCATGTACAGTTCCTAAACTACTTTGAACGCTGTCCTTTTTTTTTGTCAGGTGCACGGATGAAGTTGGAAGGTACACCTGCCAGTGCAAACCTGGGTTTGTCGGCTACAACTGTGAACTGAATGTGAACGAGTGCGCGTCCAACCCCTGTCTGAACCGGGCACACTGTGAGGACAAGATCAACTCATATCAGTGTCACTGCGCACCTGGATTTGGAGGGACACACTGTAAAGACGGTAAGAATCTCTGCTTCAAAATCAAAAGCTAATCGTTGTTGCCTTCGATAAGAAGGCTATGAAATCGTTTTGGCACTGTTTGGCAGATTATGCACGATAAATTTTGAAGGCATGGTCCGAGGTTCTCGATTTTTGACAGGCAGGTTGTCTTAGTGATGGGCATTGTCAAGGCCAAAAATGCTTACGTGAATGGAGTTGACCTTTTGTGTTTCGTAGAAAGACATGGTACAGGCTTGGAAATAGTATGTTGCTTCGTTTACAAAAGGACTCTCTGACCACTATAACTACGATAATCATCTTCAAAAAACCTACACTATACACACACACAACACCCACCAAAACAATATCACACTGTCGAAGGCATGAGCCCTCCGAACTCTAGTTATTATTAAAGGATAAAAGCATTTTAACAGGCAGGTATAGGCTGTATTGATTATTTGACTGATTGATACCTTCCAAATGATCAATATCTAGTTTGTTTTATTTGCTCTTTCTACAGTAGTGCAGCAAAATGTACCATACTTGTTAAAGCAAAGATAATTACATTTGTGATCTGTCTTATTTTGTATCGACCTTTGGTTACATACCACCAATACAGATTTGTAGACTTTCTTACATTAAAAAGACAATAAACATGCATGCTAGATCCCACAGTATGTAACAAGTAACAATTCTAAGAGGAATTTACAAACAAGAAAATGTTACCTATTTCGTACACGGGAAAGACATGAACGTAGCATTGGTTTCTAAAATGATGTTTCTTCTCTCTTCCTTAGAGCTTTCTTCAGATTTTGACCTGAAGTTCCCCAAGGGGATACTGTCCGAGTTCACCTCTGCTAAAATAGAACCAGATCTGTCCGCTGTCACTGTCGCCTTCTGGATGAAGATGGATCTGGACAAAAAGGATCAAAAATACATATTTTCTTACGCAACAGAAAATGTGAGTAAATCTTTATACAATTCCATTTTAGTACTCTTGTAACAAGTTGTCTGAGACGACGGAAGCTTTTCAAGCAAACTATCATAAGTATCTTTTTTTCCGATACAACGTTTTCCGATGGGAAATCTCATCTTCAACATAATTACATTAGGTGGGGTCGTGTGGCGCAACCGCAGCGTGCGCGACTCGGAATCAAGAGGTCCCGGGTTCGAGTCCTGACATGCCACCGATTTTGTGCCCTTGTGCCACTTTCCCCACTAGACTCAAGTGAAAATGAGTATTGTCTGTCCAGTATTCGTTTCTATGTGCGGGACACAACACCAGCAACAGCTGCCTCTGTTCCGCGTGTATTGCACTGTTGCAATTTCGATAAAATAAAATAATTGCACAGGCAATGTGTGCAAACGGTCAGATCAGAGGCTAGCTTAGGTTAAGATTCCTCTGATGCCCATTGTAATAATATTATTGTCATATTGCACTAGGATGGTGTGGTCCAGGACAATGCTCTTGTTATAGAAGTGGACAACTTTAACGAGTTCCTGTTTATGGTCAACGGAGAGAAGATCACGACCACCGCTTCAGTGGAGGAGGAGGCGTGGCACCACTACGCCTTCACGTGGGCTGGGGGTAAGTGGAACTGTACTTCGGTGACTTTTTCTTACATCGTTCTCTCCCCTTAGGCATTTGACGGTATACAGTATTTAAATACACATAGTTTATTTGTTTGTATCAACATATCAACAACATATCTCGCAGCCTTGACATTCATGGCTGAATTCTGATCAAGTTGTTTACAATATGAATTATTAATAGTAGGGAAATACAAATTACAATCATATGGGAATCTACATATTAATCACTTTGGTTAGAAAATTTATAATCTTACAATCGTACAAACTATGACAATCTTACGTCGTACAAACCTTATATCACTTTAAGTTTTCACATATATGTAGAAGATTAATCATAATGAATAAATCATCGTTGTAAATCAATTCCTGTGTCACAACAAAGTAGCGGCCAGTGGTACTTGTGGTGCTATTACATTTTTGTGCTGTTTAGGATGGTTTAGAGGTGTATTTGAGCATCTACCTGCACACTACTACACACATTTAGTAGTACCTTCTGCGTGATGCTGACCGTACAGTGATGCTTACCATGCCCTTTTCGGTAGATGTCCTCCTTGGAATGAACAAGGCGTAACAATAACAAAGCATGCAGCAACTGCTAGGTATATTTTGAGTGCATTGTTAAATTACTACTAGTACTCCATTTATTTATTTTATTCACATTTAGTTTTTGAGGATTGGGCAAGTACTCCATGCAACCTTGTATGTACATTTCTATGTTTTTATATTCATGAGAAAATGATCCTTATAAGCATATTACGTGCTTTCAGTGTCTAATGGTCACAACTCTATGTAGATAAAATTTTTAAAAATTGCTCTCGCTATTTATGTCCCAACCGGCACAGGCTCAGCGGTAAATCAGTGGGGTTTCAACGTGTGTTACACTGACGGTTGGTTATACCGGCTCTAAAGAAACAGATATATATTATCATGGGTTTGGGCTTGAAGATAGAGTGCATGAATGTTGCTGTCGTTAGAAAGACATACCAATTTTGGGAGTGCCTATAGTTTTACTAAATGGAATACAATTTCACAGATTGTTACTATATAGGCACCCTTCCAATGGAGTGATGTAACTAATTGTGATGATGAATCTGTGTTTTACAAATTCAGGCTCCGAGCAACAGTGGGCTTTCTACGTGGACGGTGAGCGGAACACCGGCGGTTCTGAGGCCGGCGGAGGGCGGCTCATTCCCGGCGGAGGGACGATAGTCCTGGGCCAGGACCAGGATGAGATTCTTGGTGGATTCGACAGTACAGAGTCATTCAAGGGGAAACTCAGCAGGTGCTCTAAACTTTATTCTATCTCAGTCCCATCCGCCATGGCGTCGAATGGACGAGTGGTTAAACTATAGCGAACAAAGGATCAAGAGTTCATGGGTTCGATTCCTGAGTATTCCAGGCTAGATGTTGCTAAATGGGAATACACTGTAAACGTCTTTCTTCACCCCACATATATGTAAATGTAAATGGGTACCTTCCTGACGTTAGGGAGGTAAAAGGCTGTAGAAGGAGATGTTTAAAGTTCAAACTTTTGTTCCAACACAAAGAAATCTCTCACCTAGAGCTTTCGACCAGTCACTCTGGTCTTCCTCAGTAGACTGACCCAGTGAAGCTTGTCACGTGGCTTCTTTGAAGTGTGACGTCAACACTGGGTCAAAGGTATCTGGTAGACGATGTCGACCCCCGTCGCGGTTCAATGTAGGGTGATGTCACACTTCAAAGAAGCCACGTGACGAGCTTCACTGGGTCAGTCTACTGAGGAAGACCAGAGTGACTGGTCGAAAGCTCTAGGTGAGAGAAGTTTTTGTGTTGGAACGAAAGTTTTAACTTTAAACATGTAACTACCAACACAGATGAACTTTCATGGTTGTAGAAGGAGATGATAGATGGGCTAGACACAGCAGACTAACAGCCCACTGTCCCTATGGTCTGACAGAGATCACCGGAACCTCACCTTTTACCCACTACCAAACGTTATGACATCAGGGTTCGCCTGAGAATTCTTTTTTTTTTTAAATTCAATTGTAACAAGACAATACATTGGCCACCCAGGCAGCTGATGGCTGATTTCGGGTGCCAAACATTACAAACTTAAACATACACAATATAACATATTAATACAGTAAGCTAACAAGTACGACATTAAGCTAAAATCAATCAATTATCAATAAAAAATTACAACAGACTTAAGTACAAAGCATAATAAAAGTATTCAGTCAAGATAATAATATACTGTTTTGGAGGTCAGAGGTCACGGGCAATTGAATATAATACAATATGAGAGGAAATATATGTAACGTAAGATCATATGAGAATTCTTTTTGCATGACTGTGTCTGTGAGAAACTCTTTCGTTCTGGTATACTTGTAGGTATGATAAACTATGTTTTCACCAGTCTGGTAGCTTGGCTGTCAGGCATGACAGAAACCATCATCATGATGTTGATAACAGGTTAAATGCTATGAAATGATATGTGTTGGTAGTTACATGTTTAAAGTTAAAACTTTTGGTCCAACACAAAAAATTCTCTCACCTAGAGCTTTCGACCAGTCACTCTGGTCTTCCTCAGAAGCCTGACCCAGTGAAGCTTGTCACGTGGCTTCTTTGAAGTGTGACGTCAGCACTGCGTCAAAGGTATCTGGTAGAAGATGTCGGCCTCCGTCGCGGTTCAATGAAGGGTGATGGGCCCTGATGTATATGGCTTCCTTCACCCCTCTCAAGAAATAGTCTTGTTCAGTGCCTAAAATCCTTACAGGTTAAATGTGTGGGACCACGTCCTTACCGAGGACCAGATCTCAGTCATGGCCCGACACTGCACGGATGACTCCGGAAACGTCCGAGCCTGGCCGGATTTCAGAGCAGCTGCTGAAGGCCTGGAAGTCAGACAGGGGTCAGCTTTCTGTGCTGGTAAGAAACATTCATCTATATAGTAGTTCTTTATAATACTCCGTCAGATACAATGTCCGTTGACTATATATTTAGCATTATGTTAGACACATACCAACTAGTAACCTTATTATTTGCCATGCATTGTACCCGTGACAATCGTTGTGCAATAAACTTTGACTTGACTTGACTATATCTAGATACTAATCACTCTTCTTCTCCAAAATTAGCTGTTCTTTCAACAACCATTGAAGTTTCATCTTCCAAATCACCAAATATACACGGAGTAAGAATTTTTATATTTACCGAGGGAAACATTGATTTTGCTCAGTTTCTTCCTCTTCTTCTCCAAACACTGACCTCTGACCTGACCAATGACCTGATTTGTTGCCGTCTATCACCATGGTAACTGCTGTTGGGTTACATGATGTTGCAATTTCATAGTAGGAGGGATTTAGACTTCTGTCACCATATATGTAAAATGTGTTTGAGTAAGGATTAAGATAGCAGACTATATGCGAAGGTAAACATTAGGCATGTGCTTTGCAAATGTTACTTTTCTAGCTTTTAAAACAAGTGCTTTTACAAAAGCTGTCGTTTGCCGCCATTGTACTTTTGCACAAGAAAATCACATGCCACCTCTGCTAGTTTCACTGAAAATGTTGTTACCTTTTTTTTCCTGATAGTATAGCTTCACACATTGTGGGCAAAGGCAATTAATGGCTTATATGTAAGAAATGTGACACAAGTATACACAGATTCTAAATGTATGTGTTCAGATTGTTTATTGAATATTTGGTTTCAGGGCAAGATACAGTTTCTGGTTTTAAAAATTCACTCGTGAGACATGGACTCATCCAGTATACAATCTGCAAGTTCTGCACAATGGCACATTAGTATTGAGTGCACGGTGGCACAGGCTGGTATTGAGTGCACGGTGGCACAGGCTGGTATTGAGTGAATGGTGGCATAGGTTGATTGCTTTGTGGTATCCAAATGCCAAAGACACATCTGAAAGAGATGACAAATAATTTGTTTCAACATAAAATTTGCAACTGTGCACATAAATATTGAGTTCTCGTTGCTAAAAGAACACATCAAATTCTTCAAAATTGCCCATATACTACTGAGAGAGCTTCTATATGTTGCCATATTGATGAACAATTCTTAGGTTTCTGAGTACACTCAAATTTCTTGATGAAATTGAGATAGGTTTGATACCAGGAAAGATTTACGTGTGAACCGAATAGCTTGAAAGCTCAAAGTTTTTTCAACAAAATACTGGCGACGAATGAAAAGCCTGTACCGCCCCCCCCCCACTGACAGCGAAAATTTGTAAGAAAGAAAATAATAATTTATGCAACAATACAAAAAATTAAGGCGATACGGTAGAAACACTCCAGAGAACAAACTTTAAGATTGGCAAGCATCTGCCGGTAATTAATTTTAATATTAAAGCAAGAAACTTAGCCTTGCATAATTTGATCATACCGAAAAGAGATTGTTAGACGCATTTGTAAATCCAAAGAGGAGGGGGGCAGTCAGTTTGACTACTAAATATTGTTAAACAGCGCGTCAAAGCACAATTAGATTGATCACCCTTGCCCATGGTACTTTTAGCTATACTATTTTCCTGTAACTCTATGCCTAATACTCATAACATTGCTGATATTTTAAAATTTATATGGCGTAAATACTGAGGCACGGTACGTACCTGAGAGCTGGAATGCTCGTTGTAGAAGCCTGCATGCCCTTTTTCCTGAGGCGTAATCGGACCATTTTAGTCTTCGTAATCCGTTGGCAGTCGCCCTCCAAATCAATGAAATTCGTAATATTATATTAGCCTTAATGCATAAAGTTTTAATAGCTCTGAGAATTTTACTTAATTCGTAATCGGTGGCGAAAATTTTGCGTAATCCGTAATCACTATCACCCCCATACATGCCCTCTAGTACATCCGGGGGCTTCCAAGAGCAACATGAACAGCGACATCTAGCGATGTAGTGAAATAGTACATCTTCCGGTTAGTAAATATGGCGGTGGGCCGGATACTCTCTTCACAGCCAAGGGCGTATATTTCGGCAAAAGGGTACTTTAAAAGTTTCTTTAGTGTGGAAACTTAGCAACAATGTAGTGGACCACAATTAAAACATCGTTGTTGGAATATTTGTCCACTAATTACAGACGTTGCGCGAGCGCCAATGTTTTACTTGTCATCTACATTAACATAATTTATGCGATTCATTCATCAAGGCCATTATGTCAATTTTTATCATCTTCTGAGAATCACTTTGGGCATACAGTAGTACAGATTAATTATTTTTTAGACAATTCAAGTCTAATTTTTGATAACTTTGTCATATAAGAATTGCGTTTATGTGATCTGGTAGGTCCATCCCACAATAAAAAGTGCAAACATAATAGATAAACATTGAATGCAACACCCAATGTTTTACTTGTCATCTTCATTAACATAATTTATGCGATTCATTCATCAAGGCCATTATGTCAATTTTTATCATCTTCTGAGAATCACTTTGGGCATACAGTAGTACAGATTAATTATTTTTTAGACAATTCATGTCTAATTTTTGATAACTTTGTCATATAAGAATTGCGTTTATGTGATCTGGTAGGTCCATCCCACAATAAAAAGTGCAAACATAATAGATAAACATTGAATGCAACACCCAAACGAAAATGTTCACCCAACGAAGGGTTGATGGAAGCATTGTTTTCGTATGTTTACGTTTGCCGCCGCATGGCGGCAAACGTAAAAAATTTTTAACTTACCAAAAGAAGAAACAACATCTCTTTCCAATGGATCCACAGCCAATGTTGCATGAGTTCCCTTCACATCTTTATACTTGGCGAAAGAACGATATAACTGTCAGTTCATTATTTTTGCAGGAAAGCCGTCTCTAGTCGGCGTGAACGAGTGTGAATCTAATCCATGCCAGAACGGAGGGTCGTGTGTTGACCACATCAACACCTTCACCTGTCTCTGTACACGAGGATATACTGGGATAAACTGTGAAAAAGGTCGGCAATTCCACCTTCCGTTAAAGCAATCAAAACCTTTAATCAACATCATTAACGTTATAGATTTTGTCGTGTTTACTTAAGATTTCTACTTAATCTTTTTTTACGGCCAAATCTGTTCCAATGCACGTAACGCTGAACAATTTTATTTATAAGATCTATAATCAGTTTTGAATAGCAAAGTTCTTTCATCACAACCATTTATTTTTCACGAGCCGACGTTTCGATGACCGTCTGTCATCTTCATCAGGGCGATTCTGACTGGTTTACTGTGCACTGGCGCTAGATGTTACATGGTGCATGGTGCACTAAAGGTGTTACATAGTAAATAGTAAAAACTAGCTTAAGTGTACTCTGAACTATGTAACACCTTTAGTGTACTATGCACCAAGTAACATCTAGTGTCAGTGCACAGTAAACCAGCCAGAATTGCCCTGATGAAGATGACAGATGGTCATCGAAACGTCGGCTGGTGAAAAATAAATGGCTGTGATGAAAGAACTTTGCTATTTAGAACTGATTATAGATCTTTTAAAGAAAACTTGTTCAGCGTTCAGCGTTGCTATTCATTTGTTTACCAACCTGATGAAATTATTTACGGATATAATCAGTTCTGTATGTACCTAAAATATCTATCGATTGTTTATCTCTTGACCTTTCTATCAGACCTCAACAAGTGTGGCCCAAACAACGCCCCATGCGACCACACGTGTCATGACACGGACTCCGGATTCAAGTGCAGTTGTTACACCGGGTTTAAACGGTTTAATGACATCTACTGTATAGGTATGTTGAAAAATATGTCTTTACAGTTACCGGCAAAAATTCGCTAAATAGCTGGATATGCGCCTTCTTCAGTGTAACAATAAAAAACAAACTGTTTGGGGCCAAAACAGCCCCTTTCCCAAAGGAGACTGAATAAATAGACATCTATTACATAATTGTTTTTTTTTGTTAACTGTATAATGTAATATTATTGATTGATAACTGTATAATGTAATATTATTAATTGATGTAATAATTGATGCTTAATGTGTAATTTACTATGTTGATAAGATAAGTTTTCCTGTAGTTTAATGTCCTTGATAGCAGTTAAACATAAATAATAGTTATATTTTATGTACAGGACTCCAGGAAGAATAGTGATGTATATATTATCACTAATGGGAGATTCGTAAACAAACAAACAAACAAACAAACAATAGACCCACAATCTCTATACTGATTCAGGTGAACCATTTCAGACAAATGAAATACCAGAGGTATTTTTTTTGTTGGTATTTTTTTAAAATACCAACAAGAGTCTTCTTATTTCCATCATATGCCAGCATGGAAATCCCTATGTCATGGAAAATTGCGTAAAGTGTTCTATTTAATGCATTCAAAAGTTTACTATCTGGTATATTTGCTGGGGTTTTGTTTTATATAGAGGAAGATGAATGTGTTACAAGAAATGGCGGCTGTGACCACAACTGCATCAACACCCCCGGCTCACATCTGTGCTCATGTTACCCTGGATATGTCCTTGGTGCTGACCAGAAGTCATGTGTAGGTACGTTTGGACCATTCGGTTCGTCACTTTATATCTCACAGATTTAGGGTCTATAAAGCCTGTGATATGTGGGTTCGTGTGGCGTAACGGTAGTGTACGTCTCGGAACCAAGAGGTCCCGGGTTTGAATCCTGCCATGCCAACGATCTTATATCCTTGGCAAATGCAGTTTACACGAATTTTCTCACTTCACTCGGGTGAAAATGAGTATTGTGCTATATCCTCTATGTTGGTTGTTGGTGGCATAAAAGATAAGTTGAAACTAAAAAGTTGTAACAGATACGTACCAAACAACTGTGTATTTTTTGTTTGCATTTTTATGTGTATCCAGGATTACCTGAAAAGCAGGCCAAAATGGCCTGAGCTGTAATTACTGGTAAAACAAATAAACTGAAACAGATACCTACCATACAGATACAAATTCAAATTCGCCGATATCTCAAACTGTTTGCTTTCTGTTCCAAGATGTGAATGAATGCGCTGGTATTGAGCTGAGAGACGGTCAGCAGTTAGAAAATGGCGGCTGTACCCACACCTGTGTGAACCTGGAGGGCGGCTATGAATGTACATGTCCAACAGGACTCGTCTTGAGTGAAGACGGCAGATCTTGTCAAGGTGAGATAACCATTGTTATATATGCTTACATTTTTACTTGAAATATGTTTGCTATTCAACATAAGAATATATCTGTAATAAAAACATTAAGGCATGCAACTTTTCATGAAAACGAAAAATACAATATAGTCATCATCATCAGGTCGGGAGTTCCCGGTCCCAGACTCTCTCCCTCCAGTCCGCTTTATCCAACATGGCACTCGCCAGGTACTCCTTTGGTAGTCCCACAGTATAGTAATACACTATAAATACAATACAATGTAAACACAATATAAAAAAGGTATTCCTACCTGACCGAAGATCTCTACTCTACTCTACTCTACTCTACTCTACTCTGCTCTGCTCTGCTCTGCTCTGCTCTGCTCTGCTCTGCTCTGCTCTGCTCTGCTCTACTCTACTCTACTCTGTACTCTGTACTCTGTACTCTACTCTACTCTACTCTACTCTACTCTACTCTACTCTACTCTATACTCTCTACTCTCTACTCTACTCTACTCTACTCTACTCTACTCTACTCTACTCTACTCTACTCTACTCTTCTCTACTCTTCTCTACTCTACTCTACTCTACTCTACTCTACTCTACTCTACTCTACTCTTCTCTACTCTACTCTACTCTACTCTACTCTACTCTACTCAACCAACACAACATTGTAACGCATATATTCAATACTAAATATTGTTAAGCCTGTCACATTTGTGCATAACGTTGGAGGTAAATGTTTGTTTTATCTCTTTTTAGATATTGACGAATGTGAGACTGGTGCGGCAGATTGTTCTCACCTCTGCATCAACACACTCGGGTCCTTCCAGTGTGCCTGTCACCCTGGGTATAGTCTACTTCCTGATGGCAAGATGTGCCAAGGTAACGTGAAAATTTTTCTGTCTATTTGCCTGTACATCCAAAATATATCAATTGTTATATTTGTCAGATCCATTCAATTGCTTCATCCTTATGTCTTATTGCATTTTCATGTTAGTTTTTGGCGAGCTGTAAAGACGAAGTCGCGTTTTCATATTGAAATTCAAACTTTGAAAAGATATGACTTATGTGTGTGTCTGTGTGTGTCTGTGTTTTTTTGCACATTTGTAATCAGCATAACTTCAGAACGCCTTTATGGATTGTGATGATATTTGGTATGTTAAAAATTTGGTAGATCATAGGAAAACAAAGGTCAGGGTCAAATATGGGACTCCTGGTGACTGACTTTAGTACTGCAGCAGAACGTCCTGTTTTTGTATCACGCAAAATATTGTTATTTGAATGAATTAAAATAAAGTATGGTAATTATTACCTTATTTCAATAATCAATGAGACGAATCCGAAATAATAAACAGTTAAAGAATTCATGGAGGTATTAGATCTCCGAATTCTAGTTCAAGTATTTTTTATAACTAGCCTAATATTTCTATGTTAGATACCGTAATATTTGCCACCGATGCGAATGTGACGAAAAAAGTTCAAAGTTGTGATCAGTTGCGCGATCTGAATAATTATACTGCAATTTTCCTTGTATTGCACAGCTGGTGGAGGAGGGCCAAGGACAGTTCGAGCATGTGAACACAGCGGGGTCCCTGTGTCCCTGCATTGCTCCTCGGGTACGATCCACATAACGGCCGCACTGTACGGTCGCAAACAGCACGGGCTCTGCTCGGGACCTGTGTATACCACGGACTGTGAAAGCTCCACAAGCCTGTCGACTGTGAAGTCCAAATGCGACGGACACAGCACCTGTTCTGTCCAGGCGTCAAACAGCTTGTTTGGAGATCCCTGTCAAGGGACGGTGAAGTATTTGGAGGTCACATATCAATGCGGTGAGTATAGTTATCTCTATGAAAATGGATGTATTGTTTTTGGCGTGTCTGTCTGTCTGTTTGTCTATGTGTGTGTGTGTGTTTCCGCAACTTTGTGGTCAGCATAACTTCAGAACGCCTTTATGGATTGTGACGATATTTGGTATGTTGGTAGGTCGTAGGAAGGCAAAGGTCAAGGTTAAATATGGGCCTCCTGGTGGATGACCTTGGTACTGCAGCAGAACTTCCGGTTCTTGTATCTTTTGTCCTGAACATGCTATGGTCTTGATTTTTTGGTGACAAATAGCTTTTCCTGTCAGGAAGTGGTGTGGTTTTGTCCCCCTAGCAGCTTGTTCTGGAACTGCAGGGCACTTTCTGGCGAAATGTTTAAAAGCCAATAAGTCCAGATAGGATCAACGTATTTTCATCATTTTTGGTGTGTAGGTAGCGGAGAGAGACTTGTACATAATTAAATGCAAATTATGCAAATGAGGACACAAAGCTTATATGCTTCTACAGATCGCTCCTGTAGCAGGCTTCCTGAGGTTGAACACGGCACGTTTGAGGTGTCCTCATCAGACAGTACAGTAGGACGTGTGGTGTGTAACGACGGGTACCGCGTACTGGGGAACCCCGTGCTTCGGTGTGACATGACCGGCCACTGGGGAGGAGCGCTCCCGAGGTGTATAGGTGAGGAAATAGACGACTTTGCCCTACATCCAAGTAACATACTGCAACAGTATAGCGATGTATCTGCAACAGGCTTGCAAGTATTACCCTTTTGAATGGAAAATTGAATTCTTTCGTATCGTATCACTAGTCCTGAGTGAAAATGTGGGCATCCAAATGAGACACCAGATCACTACTTATTGCACTGCAAATTTTACAATACTGTAAGGACCAAAATGTTGTTATCCATGTCTTGCTTTCACCTTGAAAACATACTCCCTTCCGACCCACTCAACACAAATGGCGCCACTTTATGCACTTTAGTTCTTACAGGTAGCCCCTCCCTCCCATACTGTACTAACTGCCGTATTTTTGATATTGTGTTCAATTATATTCATCACTCTGGAAGATTTGACCAATCTCATTAATGTTATGCTATGGGTTTTGGTGCGCCAGCCACTTTCATTATATGTTTATGTTATATTTTATGTCATCTTTATGTTTACATTTTGTATTATGTTCTATGAGCAGCGGATTATAAGCACAACAAGTGCTTCCTATCTAACGCTCAAAAATCTATGTGAATAAAATAAAAAATAAATTTAATTCAACCGGATACAAGATATGGCGTCAATACCCAACATGGCGACGGCCATGGACACCGACAAAAACAGTACAACATGTATATTAGATGTTTCAATATTTGATGTGTTGTCTTAGATGTACATATCCCTTAAAAATAAACGTACTTCACCTAACACATCCACTTTTCATGAATACAGATTTTTCTTTGGCATTTCTCTACAGTGCTCGATTGTGGAAAGCCGAAACAACTGAAGAACGGAGCTCGACTAGGATCGGGCCATTCCGTGAAGTACTACTGTAACAAGGGTTACCTCATGGTGGCAGGGGACGGGGTAAGGGCCTGTCAGTCAAATGGCGTGTGGAGCGGAGAACACCCCGTCTGTAAAAGTGAGTTTCTTCAGTCAGTGGTACTACTGGTGATATCTAAAGGAATTTTAACATTAATGTTAATGTACAACGAGTGGGATTGTTATCATGAAAGTTCATCTGTGTTGGTAGTTACATTTTTTTTAAAACTTTTGGTTCAACACAAAAAAAATTCTCTCACCTAGAGCTTTCGACCAGTCACTCTGGTCTTCCTCAGTAGACTGACCCAGTGAAGCTTGTCACGTGGCTTCTTTGAAGTGTGACGTCAACACTGGGTCAAAGGTTTCTGGTAGACGATGTCGACCCCGTCGCGGTTCAGTGGGATTGTGTTCCGCAATGGGTGCTTTGCATGTCCTATGTTCAAACCTACTAACATGCCACGATGTTGCAATTTTTGCCATTGAAAATGACACTTAACGCAACTTTCCTTACGTCGCTCTGGTTAAAATGAGTACCTTGCTTTGGTTAGGGATGTCCCTCGAAAAGACGCCCTGTGTTTTGGGGACAGCCGCACCCCGCACACGTTAAAGAACTCACCACAACTTTTGAAAAAGAGTAGGGACGTGCTCAGTTGTGCGATGATCCAAATACTACTAAATAAAAGTCGGTGATTCACTATAAAACAAACAAACAAACAAACAAACAAGAATTCGGAGATCTCATACCTCAATGAAATATATGAGTTTTTTGTAAATGTTTTTATTTGTCTCATTGACTATGGAAATAAGGTCGTTATGGTTTTCTGAATTCAAATGACAAAATATACAAAAAACGGAGGTTCTGCTGCAGTACCAAGGTCATCCACCAGGTGGCCCATAATTGACCTTGACCTTCGTCTTCCTAAGACTTACATGTACCAGTATACCAAATATCATCACAATCCATAAAGACGTTGTGAAGTTATGCTGACTACAAATGTGAAAAAAAAACACAAACACACACACAGACAGACAGACAGACAGACAGACACACACACAGACAGGCCAAAAACAATACTTCCATTTTTCATGGAGGTAACAAACAATTACATGAGTCTTAAGTTTTAGAGATTCATGTAATGTTATGAATGTGTCTGTGTTGCAGAGGACCCTTGCTTGCCCAGTCCATGCGCCAGAGGCAAATGTACCCGTGTCAACGTCAACCTTGGAACCTTTAACTGTAGCTGTCCCAGAGGATGGACGGGTAAAACCTGTGATGAAGGTAATCATCATTATTGTAAACACCAGCAAATAGAAACAAGACTGACAATGAAAATATACATTGCCATGGCGACGGTGGTTGCTGTTAGTGTTAGGGTTATTGTTTGCATGGCACTGCCATCATTTCATGATCTTGAGGAAGACTTGGTTCCTGTTAAGTCTAGATGATACAGTGCACTCCTCCCCTGCGTGTATAGTGTACAAGCCCCGGGGTCACAGAAAGTAGGGCCATCCGGGGCAGAGAGGTCTTCCCAAGTTAGAGTTTCCAGGAAGGTGGGCATAGATATGGGTCATTCCTGTGGACAAAATGCCTGTACTATTCCTGGCATTCTTGCAAACTGCACACAATACTGTGCCATTAGGCTCCTCCCTGAGAGGTCGTCAAAAAACAACATTTCTTGATGTACATCGGACAACAAATTCTATGTGATGTATGCAAGATCCAAAAGGACTGTAAAATGTACTGGGGGCAATTCTAAGGTACGGACGAACGTTAGGATTTATGTGGTTCAAAATAGTTCTAGAGAGTTATAATATTACTGCTATTCCCAACCTAGGCATCGTCAAAAATTAACTACTTCTATAGTTAGATGGGTAAGTTTATTTACAAATATGGATATAAATTTTACATGTACCGGATGCCCACGTTGAGAAAACTGTACACAGTTCAATTCAATTATTGAATACAGTTACATGAATGAATATTGAATACTGGATGTAAAAAGTTGATCCCCAACCCATTTCTAGATATCAATGAATGTCATGAGGGACCATGTGGACCGAGGCCAAACGGGTGCCAGAATGCACCAGGAAGCTTCACGTGCCTGTGTGCTCATGGGTATGAGCCCAGAGGGAAAACCTGTGTTGGTAAGGACATCTTTTCACAAAAAAATTCAATCTGAATAATTATGTTATGTCCCGACTCCATATCTACCTACTTAGGCCAATATATGTAGCACTTTACAAATAACAGAATGCATTTGAACAGGCAAAAATGTTTAACCATATACAAGGTGGGGTCGTGTGGCGTAGCGGCAGAGTGCTCGACTCGGAACCAAGAGGTCCCGGGTTCAAGTCCTGACATGCCACCGATCTTGTGCCCTTCGAAAAGGCACTTAACACGACCTTCCTCACTTAAGTCAAGTGAAAATGAGTTTTGTCTGTCCTGTATTTATTTCTAAGTGTGGGACACAACACCAGCAACAGCTGCCTGTGTCCCACATGTATTGCACTGTTGCAATTTCAATAAATCAAAAATCAAGTTCAGCTTTTCAAACATTTTCAACCTAGCTATGTCATGTCTCGACTCCATATATACCTACTTAGGCCAATATATGTAGCGCTTTACAGAAGACAGAATGCATTTCAACAGACAGAAATGTTTAACCGTATACATTATGTTAATCATTTCAGCGACCTGTTTGTCACGATACCACTCAACCTAAGTGTATTATTTGACAAAAGAATGGATGACTGAAACCAAACGATGATAGTAGTCTATTCTAAAAGCCATGACTGCAGAAATATGAACGTAGATAGCGTATTGACATAATGGATACGGTTAAACATTTCTGTCTGTTCAAATAAAATAATAAAATGTACCATAGAAATAATTTCGACAACGCAGCATGATAAAGAAATAACAAATGTTTATGAACGATACCTTTGTATCTATTGGATGATAAGCTAACTGACGCCTCATCCAAGCATGAAAGTTGTGTTAATATACTTCATTATGACCAAAAGGGCTAAACGTTCTAGCCAACACTAGGTAAATTGGGACTTACCCAAATTTTCGACCGACTCCGTCAGCCTTGTTCATGGAATGGTCCGTCTACTGTAGCTTCCGGAGCGTGACTTCGGAAACACGTGATTGCAGCAAAGTATCGTACGTGTCAGATAACCTGTGTCGCCCCCCGTCTATGTGTAGTGTTGGAAGGATGGCCCGAATGCACACCGAATTTCTTCGCGAGAGGAGTAGAGGAGGCGTTGTACATTCGGGCCAACCGTCCAACACTGAACAGAGACGGGGGGGCGACACAGGTTATCTAACACATACGACCCTTTGCTCAATCACGTGTGGGGTCGTGTGGCGTAGCGGCAGCGTTCTTGACTCGGAACCGAAGGCCCCGGGTTCGAGTCCTGACATGCCACCGATCTTGTGCCATTGGGAAAGGCACTTTGCACGACTTTCCTCACTTCGCTCAGGTGTAAATGAGTATTGTACTGTCCCTGTGTTGGTGGCGGCATTAATATAAGTTGAAAAAACTTGAATGCAGTGTGCCGTCACCACGTCTTGTGATTACCTGTTTCGGAATATAAAAAAATCACGTGTTTCCGACGTCACGTCCCGGAAGCTGCAGTAGAAAGGGTCCATTCCGTGAACAAGGCAGACGGAGTCGGTCGAAAATTTGACGCCTCATCCACTTCTACAGATGTAGATGAATGCAGGGGACATCATGACTGTGCCCACATCTGTCAGAACACACAGGGAGGTTACCGATGTGAATGCTACGAGGACTTCACCATAGATAGCGACGGGACGAGCTGCTACGGCGGTATGTATCTTTGATATATTTAGTCATAAACTTTGTAAAGTCAAGTCAAGTCAATCTTTATTGCACAACAATTGTAACGGATACAATGCATGGCAAACTCTTCAGTACTACATATCTAGCTAGCATCTACTCTCACGTCTACAGTATTACCTACAAGTTCTATGTATTGAAAATAACATTTTATTTCTAAAGTTAATATAAAATGACGGGCCGAGTTCCTCTCTAGCTGTATGGATCTATTGATGGTCAGATATCAATCAAGTCATAAATTTTAAAATTGAAGGGATAAAGTTATTCGATATTCAATGACAGAAAGCAGTTAGAAAGTGTAAACCTCCCAGTATATTTCCTTTGAATTGGAATTGTATAATTCCTTCTAGTGTTTTCTTCTAGATCGCACTCTTGTTTAGCCTGCTTGCTATTCTTTGTAGTTACCGCCGACTCCATAACGCTAGAGAGCCGGTAGTAACTACGGAAGATGATACTCAGGCTAACTCTTCTTACCAAGCAAAGTTTGAAGGGAGAGACCGTTACTTTCTGATTGTCACGATTTCTGACATCCGGCCCCTTAAATTCATCGGTCATTCCACTAGCAAGTCAATCAGAAGAACATAAGGATCTCCATTTTTAATCTCTGCTTGACGAGTAGCTGTGGCGTCTGTGTGGTGTAGTGGTAGGGCATCCGACTGTCAAGCAAGCAGGCCCAGGTTCAATCCCCTGGGTTGGACCCAGACATGTCCGGATATGCACCCAGACGTTGTGCCCTTGGGAAAGGCACTTTACACGTATTACCCCCCTCATTTAGAGTGATCCTGGGTCCTACTAGGGTTAGGGTTAGCGTTAGGAAGGGCATCCAGCCGTGAAAATCTAACCCCGTTTCGGGGAAAATGACATTAACATTGGATAGAAGAGGAGTAACTCTTGGATTTCTTTTCCACACAGAGTGGCCGAGGGGTACATATGGTCTGCCTAAGACAGACACAGGCTGTCCGGAGCCCGCAGGCGTGACATGGAGAACAGGCGTCCGTGTCCAAGACACAGAGGACGACGACTCCAACAACAGGTGGTCGCCGGGGCTGCACTTTGACGGCAACTTCTGGAAGAACAACGTGCATCAGAAATTCTGCATGAAAGTAAGTGAAGAAGAAGCTATCATCAACCACTGTGTTCTGCGTCTACAGTCGTGTGGAAATGTCCTGTAGCCGCATTCAGTCTTTCTTCATTTCTTTCCACCGTGCCTTCTGCCTCGCGAGCTCTCTAAGCTCCTTGAGTTTCCTTTATGTTGTGGGAGGGCCTAGCCCTCTGCGCTTCAGATCACCCTTCAGTAAGCTGAGTAGGTTGATACAATGTCTCCCCCTGCGAGCTTTATATCTCTTAGAGCTAAGGAATGAACATTTCAGAGCTTTTCGTGCAGGTGTGTCTTGTGGTATTCTGAGAATATGTCCGAACAGAGACCACCTGAGTTTCTCAACTTTTACGGAGAGAGGTTCCGTATTACACACTTTGTACAGCGTGTCGTTGGCCAGACGAAGCTATATTGTGACTTTAATAATAAGTGTTGCTTGAAAACTATGTTCAAAGAGTCATTACAAGTACATGTACATGACAAGGCCTTTAGCATTCGTGCATCATGTGGATCATCAAGTGTTGTGAGTTCTTTGCTTGCCGTCGTGTTTTAAAAGTGAGCACACGGCAGCAAGCATTTTTTTTTTGCTTTCGATATCTTTTGATTGGCCTTTCATTTCCTAAAAATCGTATTTTGTCCCAGACATTTTGTAATATATTATTACAGTCTGAATGAAAGTAAATATTTTAGCAGAAGTAGTGATCCTCACATATCAGTGTACGTTGGAAAATTTATATTTGAATCACTACAAAAGCGACACCATATTGTAAATACATGTAGCTGATATATCCCCTGAATTACAGAATGTAATAATACTCTTCCTAAGAAAACACAATAGATTAGCTTTAGTATCATTATGAACTAGCTCGTTAGAATTATATTTTAGTATTAGTTTGTGTATGTACCATTGTTGTCTCTTTGCCATACATTGTACCAGTTACAGTTGTTGAGCAATAAAGTTGATTGACTGATTGATTGATATGTTCCGATGATGCATATGAATGTTCTCTTTTCTCCACATCCAGACGTCTTCTTGGGAAGGGTACGGGAACTGGCCCAGTGGTAGCTACTGTATCTTCAAGAAGGGCGGTTGTCCAAGTGGTAGGTTAAACTTTATGTATCTTCTGTCAGAACAAGATAACCAAATAGAGATTCGTGGTCAAATAGAACGTATTTGGTGCAGTGGCAGGGAAAACAGAAACGGGTTCAGTGGGGATCATGTGGAGTAACGACAAAGCATTCGACTCCGAACCAAGAGGTCCCGGGTTCGAATCCTGCCATGTCACCGATCTTGTGCCCTCGGGAAAGGCACTTGACACGAATTTCCTCACTTCACTCAGGCGAAAATGAGTATGTCTTTTGACCGTTCATGCGTTTGTCTGCGTTGGTGGCGACATAAAAATAAGTTGAAAAGAACTTGAGTGTGTCGTCGTCATGTCTTGTAATGCATGTTAAAAAAAACAAGTTCAGCACCAAGGAGAGATACTACAACAACCACCAGATTTTCAGGACCAAGGAGAGATCCCAACTTGTGTGAAATGGAACAGTCCTACCAGCAGTTATTGTGGTACATATAACCATATACATGTATGATAAAGGTTAACAAGCTTCTGTCATACCCTAAATTCTCAGAAGGGCTTCACACATATTTTTTTATTCCAACATGTAATCACCAGACGTGGTGACGACACATTCAAGTTTTTTCAACTTGTATTAATGCCGCCACCAACACAGGGGACAAATACATGACAGGACTATACTCATTTACACCTGAGCTAAGTGAGGAAAGTCATGTAAAGTGCCTTTCCCAAGGGCACAAGATCGGTGGCATGTCAGGACTCGAACCCGGGACTCTTAGTTCCGAGTCGCGCACTCTGCCGCTACGCCACACGGCCCCACCGGTATTTGCTCGTGTATGTAAGAGCAAATGAATGTATAATTCGCGAAGATGTAAACCGTATGTTTTCCAGGTTTCCAAAGAGGTGAACTGTTCTGGGATGATGAAGACACTATAATCAACAATAAAAACAGTCGGAGTGGCGAACTGCCTGATGGGAAGTACGATCATAACACCCTCATCCGGTACTGTTGCCGTAACGATGGTAACGCCGACACCCCCGCCCCTCTACCCCACCACAATCCCTTCTACCTCTTCCGCTACAAACAAGGGTGTCAGAAGGTGAGAAATGGTGCCATCTACCACTTCTTAATTTGCTTTCGTTTTCCTTGTTTTCTTATGCTACGTTTATTTAATTTTGTGTTAATATTGTTTTCTTATGTTTATCCTTTTCTCTTATGCATAATAACTTATGATTTGACTAATGGAAATTTTTTGTTCAATTTGACATGTTTTTGATAGTCTTACTTTATCGTTTAGTAAATTAGATAGTTAGTTAGTTCGTCGTGTTAACTGTATATTATTTTGTATCTATTTTGATTTAATTTGTTTCGTTGTCACTTATTTACAATACACGTGTGTAAAAAGAAGTCATAAAAACAATTGGATTTTAGGAGAACCCACTCGATAAACCCTTAGGTTTCTTGGGTTCTCCCGCACATTTGGTTGTACATATTCATTACATACTGTTTCATTTTTTTGTGCAAACTGAAATAAACAATAAACAAAATATGTGTTCTAGGTTAGTTTTAAGTTAGGCTATAGTGGGACAACCCCATACCCCCTGTGGTATCATCCATTAAAGGCATCCAATGCAATTTCAGGGCAGCAAAACTTGAAATATTCTGAATAAGGCAATCTTTGTGATATTGACACATACTGCTTCACATTAGCACATTTCTATCAGTATTTCATACTTTAGGTATTTAAAACTGCAGAAACAAGCCCCAAGATGAGGCCTTTATTTTATGGGTGGTACCCTAAATATCAGCCTGGCGCCCTTCCAGTAACCGTTTTCTGACAGAATTTTGGATATTTTTGCTCTTTGAGGGTCAATACACATTGTGATAGTGTGGTTTCAACTCAGTATGTAGATAAGTGACTAGAAGATTGACATTGAAAACCGGGTTTCAAAGCCCTTAAAAGTGCATTGGACGTCAGCAGGTAGGAATAATTGGTTGTGTAGAAGAAAACCTCTATATACTATACTTAACCGACCTGATGAAACTATCTTTAGATAATAATAATAATAATAATAATAAACAAGAAGCCATAGGTGACAATTCTCCGTGAAGTATTATATATTGCAACAAAAAGAAGTAGCCATTGGCGACAATTCTCTGTGAAGTGTGATAAATCGAACAAAGAAAAATTGTTTAAACGCGCGTCGGCTCAGTCATCTTAAGACGCAACAACCAATCAGAGATGCGAGATGCCTACACGTGACGCGGGAAGGGCGCGCGATGCCCGAAATATTTTTGCGTCAATATTCAGCGCCGTGATTCAAGAGATTAATACCCGGAAACAATTTTTTCTTGTTTTGAACGCATTAACATGCATTTACGCTAATCTAGTATGATTCAGGGTTACTTTTTTTAACCTGCCATGGCCAGATTATCTAAAGATGTGTGTATTGTGTGTACAATCTATAGAAAGAGAAATGTACATCAGGTCCGATCATCCGATTTTCACGTTTCGGTTTTTTGGACTCGGTTCATGAACGTATTTTGGTTTGGCTCCTGGAATGTGCAAAAAAATGACTCCCGGGACTGTCTACAGGGAACACTCGCACATTCGCGGTGTATCAGGACAGCGCGACTGGTCGTCATTAGCGCAGTAACAGTTGCATAAACGGACGAAACCATTTCAAAGAAATGGGGATGTTTCGAAAATAAGCATTTACTCCAATATCAAAACAGCTACGGTAAAAATAAAAAGACGTGCATCATCCCGGACATAATGCAACACCACATGCGAAATTACACAGAAATGCGACGTACGGAAGAATGCGTTTTGGCTGCGAACATCTTCCAAAAGGCTTGGCATCTCTTAACCATGGGCAAAAACATCTGGAACCACTTACATGTATAAAAACCACCCCGTATCTGCATGAACTTTTTTGAACCCCACTGCTATTCCAAACAACGCGTTTTTCTGGACCATTCCAATTCGCCTCGTAATTGTAGGGGTGCGTCTGCGATATTACATTGACCGCGAAAGCAGCAACGGCAAAAATACACATTCGTGCATCAACACGGGCATGCCCGCAGACGGCGTATAAAATTGCGTGCCGATTACACAAAGAGAACCCAGTGTTTTGACTGCGAACATGAAAAATCAGCCGATTACAACACTCCGTCCGGAGGTCCTGACCTCCTTCACGGAGTAATAATAATAACAAGAAGCCATAGGTGACAATCCTCCGTGAAGTTTTACATATTTAAACAAAATCCCAAGCGTCAACGCCAGACCTACTGTGCAGACATTATATTAAATTAGGCAACGGTTAATACAATGAGGGCGCGTCACAACCATAAAACATACAAAGAGCTAAATCCATTACTGCTCCCAGGGCGTGTAAAGATACTGTGCTTCAAGTTCGAAGTTCATTTTAATTACACACACACAATCTTTGCATTCACATAACTAGAGCTCCCCGATCTCATACCTTCGCCAAATGATGTTAATCTTTATGGCTGACAAATGATAGATTATTCCCCCTGCTTGTGCAAATAGGATCCTCTTTCTTATGAATTTTATCAGTTTATCATATTCTCAACCAAAAGACAGTCTTATATTAACAAACAATGCCATTCTAGCATTTCCTCATAAATTATGCAAATGAGGTCCTGATTTGAATACATTATGTTTAATGATGTTCACCTTCACTGTACTTTCAAAGACCATAAATATGAAATTCCAGGCAGTTATCATTACAGAATTATAACATTTTCTCATTAATTATGCAAATTAAGTCTTCATTTACATAATCAATATCTGCCTGTGTTTATCTCGTTCAAAATTACCAATGCGACAAGCTTCAATAGTCCTATGATGGAATGCAGCTGATTTATAGAATTTCTCCATAAATTATGCAAATTACATCCATATTTGCATAATTGTCACATAATTATATTAAGCATCACGTAAGCTACCTGCATACCAAAAATCACGACGATCCGTCAACCGATTCTTGAGTTATTCTCTTTTGAATATATTCAAACAGATAGCCCTGCAGTTCCAGAGCAAGCCGCTAGGGGGCCCAAACTCACGTCACTTCTTTCCCAGCACAAGAGCTACGTGCCATCTGAATTTCGTCACCCTGGCATGTCTGGATCATGAGATATCAAAACCGGAAGTTCAGCTGCAGTACCGTAACAAGCTGCTAGGGGGCCCAAAATCTAATCATTTTGAGGTCTCATTAAGACCTACCCACCTACCAAGTATCAAGACAATCCATCAAGGCCTTCTCAAGTTATCGTGTTTACAGACACACAGACACACACACACACGCATACACGAACGCCTCTGAAAACATAACCTTCTTGGCGAAGGTAAAGATCGGACTATCATGGTCAGCCCCACCGTCTTACCGTGCCTGTACCTAATTAAGCGCGCCTGGAGTTGCCGTAATCACCGCGAGTGTTACTACCGTCGGCCAGATAACCAGGATATCTGCTTACAGTACCTCTGCTACCAGACAACTGCCTAAACCTACGGCCTATTCCACAGGATTGTAAAAGTAGGGATGTTTCTAAAATATGCATTTACTCCAATATCAAAACAGCTACGGTAAAAATAAAAAGACGTGCATCATCCCGGACATAATGCAACACCACATGCGAAATTACACAGATATGCGACGTACGGCAGAATGCGTTCTGTCTGCGAACATCTTCCAAAAAACTTGGCATCTCTTAACCATGGGCAAAAACATCTGGAACCACTTATAAAAACCACCCCGTATCTGCATGAACTTTTACCTCCCCCCCCGCTATTCCAAACAACGCGTTTTCTGGACCGTTCCAATTCGCCTCGTAATTGTAGGGGTGCGTCTGCGATATTACATTGACCGCGAAAGCAGCAACGGCAAAAATACACATTCGTGCATCAACACGGGCATGCCCGCAGACGGCGTATCAAATTGCGTGCCGATTACACAAAGAGAACCCAGTGTTTTGACTGCGAACATGAAAAATCAGCCGATTACAACACTCCGTCCGGAGGTCCTGACCTCCTTCACGGAGTAATAACTTTATTGCACAACAGTTGTACATGGTACAAAGTATGGCAAAACTTATCTATAAACTTAACTATGGACTAAACTAACTAATACAGGAGTTTGTGGCTGATATAGGATGTGAATGAACTTTTACAATATTGGAGGAATTTCTTATGTCTAGACATTGTTTGATATACATTCCTATATCTACCATACATGAGTATCACAGGTCATTATTATCTTAAATTTGCTACTTAAATCATCGATGTAAATTCTGGTACATATGACGATAGTTTCGTATTTAATGAATTGCGTACATCAACATACTTAGGACACTTTAGATATAAACAACGATATAACTGTTATTGTGGGGTCGTGTGGCGCGACGGCAGCGTGCGCAACTTGGAATCAAGAGGTTCCGGGTTCGAGTCCTGACAGGCCACCGATCTTGTGCCCTTGGGAAAGGCACTTTACACGACTTTCCCCACTAGACTCAAGTGAAAATGAGTATTGTTTGTCCAGTATTCGTTTCTATGTGCGGGACACAACACCAGCAACAGCTGCCTGTGTTCCGCGTGTATTGCACTGTTGCAATTTCAATAAATCAAATAACAGGGGTGCCAGAGTATACAGTGCAATTATACGGAATGCAGTGCAAGTTGACTAGTATACAGTGCAACAGTGCAATTTTACGGAATACAGTGCAATCGTATTAGTATATAGTGCAATTTTACGGAATACAGTGCAATTTTACTAATGACGTAGCCTGGGCCCGGCTTGCCAGGGACGCCGCTGACAGAGCGTACTCACATCTTTCTGTGTTTTTCGAGTGAATTTGGACCGTTCTCGTGGATAGACCTTTAGTCAAATAACTACATACTACACACAGGGCATGTTACTACACAAGGATCATTTCGAATTCGCTCGAAAAAGACAGAAATATGTGAGTCAGCAGCGGCGTCCGCCATCTTGAAAATGAAAAAAAAAGCAGGGAAAGCCGGGTCCAAGTCACGTGATTCAACGTCATTAGTAAAATTACACTGTATTCCGTAAAATTGCACTGTATACTAGTAAAATTGCACTGTATTCTAATACGATTGAACTGTATACTAGTAAAAGTGCACTGTATTCCGTAAAAGTGCACTGTATACTAGTAAAAGTGCACTGTATTCCGTAAAATTGCACTGTATACTAGTAAAAGTGCACTGTATTCCGTAAAATTGCACTGTATACTAGTAAAAGTGCACTGTATTCCGTAAAATTGCACTGTATACTCTGGCACCCCTGAATAACCGTTATTGTTTTCAGGTGGCCGGGATGAATGTAAGGGAGGAATACTTCCACTGGGATGATGAAGATGACGATAATGCTAACCGCCGCCAGGGGGCGCATCCGTACGACGACGGGGACAGCAGAAACCACAAGCTTCACTACTGTTACTATTGGTGATGGTCATGAACGAAAAAACGCCATTCTTTGCCCATAGACGACGTTGCCTGTAGAGTTTAAGTGTTTCTTTCTGATTGGTGGCTATGAATCATAGTTTTAGGTTACTGTAGTTGATAACTCGGAAAATAGTGCTATTATAGCACAATGACAATGACAATGAACTTTATTGCATGTTCACGCCCTACACGGGCCAAATGCACTTAAGTTAAATAACTTGGGTACAAGAATAGAAGAAGCAATTGTTACATTCGTGTGCAATTATCTATCTATCAATCAAGATAAAACACGCAGAAGTGGCCTGAAATGGGAAAGTTTAATTGCTTTCCAAAGAAAAAAAAACGCCATTCAGTAAGTTCAAGGAACATTCAAGTACTAGTAACCATATATCAAACTTATCCACAGTTAACCTCGTACCAGTATATATACTAACACTATAGCTAAGGTGGTGATGGGGATCCCGGTGGTGGGTCGAAATTCAAACGGAGCGGACCGAAAACATGAACCGTCTCCCCCAAACAACAGAACAAACTGAGAAAGTTCGAAGGTCATGTGGGGGAGCGGTCACGTGGTTTGTGGGCCGAACGAAATCTTTTAGTTGTTTCTAATTACGAAAAATTTTTATGCGGACAATTTTTCCCATATTTCTCATCTACAGGATCTAACTACAGGATCTCTTCTCTCTTTTTGAAACATGTATGAACAAATTTACGTAGTTTTTCATTTATATCATAGCGCTTGGATGTCATAATATGTTTGAACAATTCTATTTTCGGCAAGTATGCATATTTCTTTTCTAACTGTAAGGAGCTAATAAAGGATTTCCGGATGTCATTATATACCGCACATTCTAAAACAAAGTGTGCTTCATCCAGTTTCAGTTTCAGTTTCAGTTTATTTATTTAACCAGAAGATACACTCAGGTCATTTGACCTGTTTTTCAGGTAGATCTGGGTACAATAAAAATGCAGAAACAATACAATGATAACAACACAGTACATAGCACATAATAGCCATACAGCAGTACAAATACAGTATAATTACAATGAGTTTTTGAAGGCCGTTACAGTTCGGAGCTTTCTCTGTTCTATTGTGAGCTGGTTCCACAGCACTGGACCCTGGTACTGCAGGCTCCCTTTGTATGTGTTAATGTTTGCCGGTGGAACAACCAGCATGTGAGGGTCCCAATTTGCTAACTGGTTTACAGCTAATCTCGTCCGTCTGTTCAACATTGGGGGTGGCATCCACTTACACATTTCAGACAAGTAAGGCGGCATTTTCTTGTTTAGTACCTTAAAAACAGTCACTAGTGTGTTTACTTCCACTCTTCGTGATAGTGTTTCAATACCCGCCTCTGTTAATAGAGTGTCAGTAGGTACTCGGTCCTGCAACGTTCTGCCGGTGATGATTCTGGCAGCACGGTTCAGCAGCCTGTTCAGTTGCTGTGTTCTTGTCTTGTTGCAGTTCAGTAGCGCTAGCAACCAGGCAGTGGCACAGTAGTCCAGATGTGAATATAACAAAGTGTTGCACATAGTTTGTAATATACCAATGGTGACAAAGGGTTTCGCACGACTTAGGGCACTTAGGCCTGCGAGGAGTTTCTTTGTTACCTTCTCAGCATGAGCTGCCCACTGTAAAGAGGAGTCTAGAGTAACACCAAGGTAAGTAAAGGACGGAACCTGTTTGAAGATGTTTACCCCGTCAGTTACAGATACTGACTCTTTGACATGCCGTAGTTTCTGGGGGAGACCAAAGAGCATGGACTTTGTTTTGTCCGGGTGTAATGACAACCTGTTTTCTGTGAACCAGTTTGCCGCCCTTTTCATGTCCTCAGATACCATTTCCTCACATTCACCTGTCGTGCTTGCCGAGTAATATATTACTGTATCGTCGGCGTACATGTGGATGTTACACTTCTCCAACACTTGTGGTAGATCATTCATGTACAAACAGAAGAGCAGTGGGCCAAGGATACTTCCTTGCGGTATCCCACATGTGACAAGGGTCAACGAAGAGCGTTCATTTTGTAAATCAACACATTGGTAGCGATCTGAGAGATAGGAACTAAACCAGCTTATTGCTCCACTACCCATACCCATCTTCTGTAGTTTCCCCAGTAATATTTGATGATTTACAGTGTCGAACACTTTTCGCAGATCTAAGAATAGGGCAACCGTAACCTTGTGTACATTGAATGCAGACTTAATGTCCTCTACTACCTTAAGTACAGTTATACGGTTATAGTTACATAGAGTGCAAATTCTGCTGTTTGCGGGAGTCTGGTTGTACCTACCGATTCCGATCTGTAATTGGTGATCACTAATCCTTAATTTTGTCATTGCTCGGCGATGACTGAAGTTTTGCATATCTAAATATTGTTCTTTTTCATACGTAAGCTTAGTTGTTTTGTAAGTTCTTAACCTCGATTTCCTTGTCCATATAATAACAGCAACATGGCAGGCAAATTTTGACGCTTATGTTACAAGTGTTGTTTTGTTGGGTAAGGCCACAGCAAGTAAATTATATGGATGACATTCTCCGCAGACTCCAAATCTAATGCGGTCGGGCAAAAAAAACAAGGCGGGACGAAAAAACAAGGTTCCTACATTTTAAAATTTTGACTCAATCATTGTACAAATGGTTTTTATTCAGTGGGAACATCGCATATACACAGCCAACATCACATATCACTGCATCAAAGTAAGAAACAAAACATTAATTGAGAGCCTTTTCTTGTGTCCTGTCTTCATAGTTTTCTGCCATCCACCTTCCGGCATGGCAACAGACATCTTCGCCCATTTTTGGCATGTTGACCACTGTCAGAAGGCAACAAAATTCTTGTTTTGTTTTTTTTTCAAAATCAGGCGAAAATTAATGCGCGCGCTTATGTCATCCATAAAGATTACTTGCTGTGGCCTAACTAGACATACAGTAAACACCCCTGTGTACTAAGTGAACTAGTCCGTTGATCCCGTGACCCCAACATGGCGACCAAAACAAAGATAATTTTTGTGCGATGCGGGATGTTTCTGACGTGTTTGTAGTGCTAGTTACCCGCCTGTAGTGTCTATAATGGTTAAATATAGTGGAGAAAGTGGAGGAGTTTGCGTTGAACTAAGGGAAAGGGAGCTGGGCGGCCGGAGGGACAACAGTCGGCGATGTGTAGGCATCGTGAGGAAGCTTGCGTGTGAGGTAAGGACATAATATTTATGGGGGTGGGGGGTGGATGGAAGCGTGTGAAACAGGTAACAAAATTAAACAGGGAAACCCTACCCTGGGTGCCAGACTCGTCTCGGGCCGCTAGCCGTTTCCCTTCGGCAGCCAGAAGCCCTTCGATCGCCCGCCTGTCTAAATCAAGTTTGGAAGGATAGGCATATCAAACTCAGAACAAAAATCCAAATATATAAATTATAATGCCTGCGTGATATCAACAGTGCGCTATGGGGCAGAAACCTGGCAAATGACAGTAAGACAAGAGAAGAGCCTTGACACTGCCGACCAAAGATGGCTGAGAACAATCTTGAGGGTTAGGTGGCACCAGCACATCTCCGACCAGGAAGTTCGTAGGAGAACCTTGGTACGCAGGGCGCGAGTAAGATGGCTAGGCCATGTGGCAAGGATGCGAAGAACACACCTCCCCCGGATGGCACTGAACTGGGTACCACAAGGAAAAAGAAGGAGGGGGGGGGGGGCAACAAATGACTTGGGGAAAAAACTGTCATGAAAGACTTGGAAGTGATGGATGATAACTTCATCAGTTTAAATACGTTTTTATGTGATAATGTTGATTTCATAACTTACTAGATACCTCTCTAAGGAACGTTAAAAACAGTCATGCCTCCAAACGTAGACACAAAATACCAAGAAGCCAGTCATTGAAAACGAAGAAAATACTTAGCCTTGTTGTCCATACATATTCTGATTAGGCTACACCAAGTAAATTTTATGGATGACGTCCTTTGGAGACCCTATATCTAATGCGAGAGGGCGAAAAAAAAACAACAAGAAGGGCCCTAAAAACAAGATGCCTAGATTGGAAATATAAACTAAGAGACGAAAAATGTTAGGACACAAATTGAATGAGGTGACACAGTGTAACAAGCAAGAAGTCTTTTATTCATCATCAAAACAGCAATAAATCAGGTGGAACAGCAGTTGTCGTCCTGTCCTGTTTCTTTCATCACATTTTTGCAGGCCTGCAGAAACAAAGCATGTGCTATTTACCCATTTCGCGTTACGGGTTTCACGTCAATCTAACGATTTGCGGCACTGTCGTGACTCTTTGGTCATAGTTACAGGAAGCGGAATTTCTTGTTTTTTTTTTCTAGGAACAGGCCAAAATCAATGCGCGCGCGGACGTCATCCATAAAATTTACTTGGTGTGGCCTTATCACCCAATCACCGAACTCTCTCCAGTGGACCAACTCCTTCAGCATGTTATGTCTGTATTTGGCCAATATGTACAATAAAGGTCTTCTTTATATACATAAGTAACATAACTGACTATTGTGAATTTGTGATGAAATGCCACTATGCAACATATTTCACATTTTAAAAATACACTAATAGCATTACAGACTCACTGATCATTAAATTAGGGACCAGACTATTATCATATCACTTTGTCGGTACAGAATGTACATGTATATAGATTTGCATATGGTCCAGCAGAGTTTACATGTATTTTGGTTTGGTTTTTCTGTTAATTCCCACAATCATGATAATGATACTAAGTACCCATTTTCACCTGAGCGAAGTGAGGAAAGTCATGTTAAGTGCCTTTCCCAAGGGCACAAGATTGGTGGCATGTCAGGACTCGAACCTGGGACCTCTTGGTTCCGAGTCAAGCACTCTGCTGCTACGCCACACGATCGCAATTACGTGTATACTAGTACATTGTGCACGTGTATAGCTGAGATTGCTATCTTTTGATTTCTCAGAAAACTTCAACATTTCGGAGGATTTGGGACAAGGAATCCAAGTACCCCATCTCTTATGAAGAGTAAGTGGCATAAATACTTTGTATTTTTGTATTTTGATCAAATACTTTTGGTAATAGTATTATCACAGAAGAGTAGAGTAATATTTGTCACCACTAATAACTGAGCCTATGAAATATAAAACAAATAATAACTATTATAACCAGTTTCCACCAGAGACAGTTTTGCATTTTTGCTTCATTGACAGATATCAGTATACAGTGGAAAGGGTTGATTCATCTCAATACATTAAAAACTGACCTTAAAATTGACTTTATATTGCTATAAAATTGACTAATATATATTTTGAACCCATTTGGTTACTGTGTACCTGTGTACTATGTATTAGTTATAACCGTAGTAGTGTTATAACTAATACTAGTGTATAATATGATAATGCTAAATAAATGTATTAGATATCTTGTGGATAACACTAAATATTATTATTATTACAGGGGAAGGTTGTTGTTTGATAACTATCGAACCTGTTATACAAGGTAAGAATCTGAAAGAATCAGATAAAATCAGGTACTAAATATCTTTTTAAAATGCATGGAATCAGATTATCTGGTTTTGAGTACTAGTAGCCCTGCAGAACAAGTTAAACACTAAAGGCAAAATTGTAAAAATGTATGTTAAGGCCACACCAATTTAATTTGTTGGTTCTCGGATTTTTTCAGAAAAAATATGAAGCGACAGGGCGAAAAAAAAAAAAAAACAGGTCTAGGCATCCTATTATAGGCTTAAATGGTACGAAATGAGCCATGAAGTCAACACAAAAGGCTGGGTTAAAATCTAAACATTGAATTTTGAACTTTTAATCAAACCACTGCAATGATAGATGGGAAAACTGTAACAACTAGGAAGAAAAGGACTTTCCGCAACTGTTGGGGGCAAAACATGAGCATTTTTCACTTGATTCAGGAAAAGAATCAATTTTTTTTTTTTTTTGCAAATCAGAAAAAAACGAAGAGGCGAATCCGAAAACCAACAAATTAAATTGGTGTGGCCTAATCTATACAAATGCAATGTAGTATATGCAAAAGACTGTATGTATATTAAGTATATGTTCATGTTATACTTAAAATACAAACATAATATGTTACTGCTATGTTGTTGCTATAGTCTAGGCCTCCATGCCACACCACAGCTGCTATTCCGACTGCCCAGCTGCTCAGCTGCAGAAAAGACTGAAGATGTCATCATGTGTCAGTCCAGCTTGGTAGGAATATGTTTCATTTATCCATCCATCCATCCCTCCATCCATCCATTCATTCATCCATTCATCCATCCATCCCTCCATCCATCCATCCATGCATGCATGCGTCCATCCACCCATCCATCCATCCACCCATCCATCCATCCATCCATCCATCCATCCATCCATCCATCCATCCATCCATCCATCCATCCATCCATCCATCCATCCATCCATCCATCCATCCATCCATCCATCCATCCATCCATCCATCCATCCATCCATCCATCCATCCATCCATCCTTCCATCATTCCTTCCATCCAGCCATCCATCCATCTCTCCATCCATCCATCCATCCATCCATCCATCCCTCTGTCCCTCCATCTGTCCATCCATCCATCCATCCATCCATCCATCCATCCACCCATCCATCCATCCATCCATCCACCCATCCATCCACCCATCCATCCATCCATCCATCCATCCATCCATCCATCCACCCATCCATCCATCCATCCATCCACCCATCCATCCATCCATCCATCCATGCATCCATCCATCCACCCATCCATCCATCCATCCATCCATCCATCCATCCATCCATGCATGCATGCATGCATCCATCCATCCATCCCTCCATCCATGCATCCATCCATCCATCCCTCCATCTATGCATCCATCCATCCATCCATGCATCCATCCATCCATGCATTCATCCATCCAACCATCCCCCATCCATCCCTCCATCCATCCATCCCTCCATCCATCCCTCCATCCATCCATCCATATTAATAACTTTTACCATGGACCTCCTTGCTTTTTCTCATGAGTGAAAGAAAGTTCCATATGTATTGTTCCCCAAGTGTTTGGTATGAGGCCACACCAAGTAAATTTTATGGATGACGTCCGCGCGCGCATTGATTTTGGCCTGTGACGCGAAGAAAGTTTCTATTGACGGGACCATCCTGTCAATAACAGAAAATTTTTCACTGTCCACTGTTCCACCTGATTTATTGCTGTTTTGATGATGAATAAAAGACTTCTTGCTTGTTACACTGTGTCACCTCATCCAACTTGTGTCCGAACATTTGTCGTCTCTTAGTACATTTCTAATCTAGGAATCTTGTTTTTTTAGGGCCCTTCTTGTTTTTTTTCGCCCTCTCGCATAAGATTTAGGGTCTCCAAAGGACGTCATCCATAAAATTTACTTGGTGTGGCCTGACCAGTAGACAGGGCTTGAACCCATGACCTTTCAACACCATAGAACCAGTTTGAATTTTCTTGGTCTACAGAACACCCTCCCAATGGAGAACCAGGGTTACAGAGGCTGTCTCCTGGGGCTCACTGCCAGTAACTGGCTGATGAGATGGGATGTCAGCACAGGGAAGTGTCTAGAGGCTGTCTACCTGTCACATAGATACAAGTTCAGGTGAGACAACTAAAGATCAAATTTTTTTGGAGACCCAAAGATCACATCAATGCAAGGTTACCACGGCGGTCTGTCACTACGGCATACTTTCCCATTGCTAAGGGGGTTTGAAAACGTATCGGGTTACAAGATGCAGGTTTGGCCTGTTTTGGACTACCCGTAAACCACTTGAAAATAAACAACTATTTGAAGAGTAAATTCCGTCAAAATAAAATGAAATTATCGTCTACATAATTAGGTTTAATGTTAGTTGTTTATGTTAAATTACTAATTTTTAAAAATCTCGCTCCAAAAGATGCTTTTTTTCGGGATTTGGAGCGCCAGTCTGTGACAGTCCGAGTCATGTTTTTAGGCACACACCGTTTAAGATTGGCTAGTAGTACGTATATTACCCAAAATCCCTGATTTTTATATTTTTCGATGACTAGGAATAAGATCAAAAATTGTGTCTTAGGAATTTTTTAATTTCTGATTTTAATTATAGTTTTTGTTGACATAAATGTGAAAAACGACATTTTTTTACATTCTTCGCACTCACTTGCGCATAATTCAAAATCAAGGTCCTTTTTTTAAATTCCCTAAGACACGATTCTGGACAAACCCGTTACGGTCATTTTGAGCCATGTATGAGATATGTTGGACTCTCCATGCTTCCAATTTTGACCACCGTGTACAGTTTAATGATTGTTTGACTATTAATAAAACAAAATGAAATAACAAGTGAACAAGCAAAAACATTCATGTTAGCTTTGGAACATTTTGAGACATTTCATGCACAAAGTTTTTTCAGAATGATGATAATCATTATAATTCTTCTGTTGATGACAGACACATTGCATGGGGGACATTTCTGGAGAACTTTGTGGTGAGGTCTATTCACACCAAACACACCGCTGCAGCACGAGCCGTAAGTTTAGTATCTTCTTAGGCCACACTGATTTGATTTGATTAATGAATGACGTCTTTGTGCACATTGATTTAAGTCTGTTATCAAAGAAAAGATACCTTCCTCTTATGCTCTAACCTTGGTGCTAATATTCCTCCGTAGTCCATGTTAGACCACACCAATTTAATTTCTTTGTCAACGGATTCACCCGCTTCTTTTTTTCTGATTTGCCAATAAAAATAAAAAATTCAGAATCAACTGCAAAATGCTCATATTTTGCTCTGAACAGTTGAAAACAGTCCTTTTCATCCTAGTTGTTACAGTTATTCCATCTTTCAATGCAATGGTTTCATTATAAGTTCAAAATTCATTGTTTAAATTTTGATCCAGCCTGGTGTGTTGACTTCATGGCTCCTATCGTACCATTTTGGGCCATGATAGGATGCCTAGGCCTGTTTTTATTTATTTATTTTTTGCCCGCCCGCTCCATTATTTTTCTAGAAAAATCCGTTAACCAAGAAATTAAATTGGTGTGGCCTTAGCTAGCATTTATCTATTCATTTTTACTTCCTTTCTTAAGTCATTAATTGCCTTAATTGGCAAGTAAATGTTAACGTTTCAACATCTTCTATCATATTTCATCATTTTTTTCACAGTTTGAGTGATGACGGTGTTTGAAATATGTCCCACTGTAGCATATGTTTGTTTATTTGTTTGTTTGTTTAGGCAGGAATCCCCCAGCCACTCCTTATGGTGCTGGCCATGTTTAAGGTCTTTCCACTCAGGTTCACTGCCATGCTGGAGATCAACAAACATGTAAGTATATATATCAGATAGATCAACAAACATGTAAGTGTATATATCAGATAGATCAACAAACATGTAAGTGTATATCAGATAAACGACTTTCTGTGCGAAGATGAATCGCATTTTATGCTTGACTGTATATTATATGATAACGAACGTAAATCACTGTTGAGTTCAATTAAGCTTGACAAAAAAGGTAAAACATTATCAAAGGAAGACACTTTTAAATATGTCATATCATGTACAAATATAGACGTCATCAATGAAGTATGTATTACTAAGTATATTTCAAAATGTTTCAAAAAGAGAGAAGAAGCCATTAGAACTTAGATCGATACCACTTTATATATATATTTCTTTTTTAGCATTGTATACCTTAGACCTGATGTTAGCCTTTCTTTATTACTTATATTGTAACTGTTACTTGTAACAGTTGTAGTACTCCCTAATACATTGTACTTTGTACATCCGTACATTTATCCCCCCCGGAATGAACATGCAATGAAGTTTCATTCAATATAACTGTTGCACACAGAAAAACTGCAATATGATCTAGAAAGGAATTAGATCATTTTTAACATTGCTAAGGACCATTATTTCCACCTGTTCAGGTGTTTGGGAAGGATGTAACAGATGCGATGATCTCACAGGGAGTTCTGGTAGTGATGTACCAGGGAAACACAGTCAGGTGCTTCAGCTTTGACGACATCGTAGACAAGGTGAGACCAGCAACTTCACTTTTCTTTTTTTTTTCCCAACTTGACTCTAACAAGCATATTTGTACATGTATTTGAGAATTAAGTGGCTCTTTAACGAGGGTGTATCTGACCTAGCAACTTTCATTTATCGAACGTGAAAAGAAGAAAACACCTGTATTCATAACACATCAACAGTTTCCACTTTTTGTTACTTCTGCACATGTTTGTTTTCTCTTATTATATTTGATTTATCTTATGTACCTGTATAATTTTATTTTGTGAGATCTTGGTTCATTATGTACAGATTTGTTTATTTGCATTTATGATCTGTTATGAGTTCACTTTGTTCACCATTATTATAAATTATATAGCCTACCTTTATTTGTGTTCATATTTTGTTTGGATTCTGTTATCTGTACCTTTGATTCTCTTTTGTTTATGTATGATTTATTGAATCGGTGTCGTATAAGCCCACACGGGCTGGGCGCGTGAAAGCGCATGACACGAAAATAAAGTTTCACTCATTCATTCATTCATTGTACATAATTATTTACCTCATGACAAAAGAAAAGTCTTGCTAATAGATAATCAGTACACTGGTTACAGACTTGAACTTAAACATTTGTTTCTACATAGTACATAAAAAAAGTTGCAGAATGTATTGTTTTTCTAACTTCACTTTTCTCTCATTGTGTCTGATGCACACTCACTCACTCACTGTCCAGTTTATTGAAATTGGACTTCACCCTAACTTCCACTGCTATTCAACTCCAGTCTTTGTCAATGAGCAGTCCGCCACTTCTGTGATCACAGTTATGCAGATGACACACATTACCCAGTGAGAAAGTCTGTGGTGCCACCCCCATCTCCCCCCCCACCCCCCGTCTTTGTTGATAGATGGTTGTAAGGCCCTGGTGTACATGTACATGTACAATGTAGATGGCCTTACTACCTTGTGCAAAAAAGCCTGGTTTTGCATGGGCAAGATTCTTACTTTGTCCAATGATATTGAGTCTCTCCTGGCAAGTCTGTTATTGTATATTATATGATAATTGTGAAACATCCAAAGTCATTAAGGGCAATTTAACAAGAACCAACAGATACAGGAACTCGCCTGTACCGTACATGTGCAGTCTACTCAACAATCCTTTATAATGTAACACATCAACATATAATATTATAAGTGTCCAGTTGGTGAAGATATTGGAACTTATAAGTAATCACTCCAGGAATGAAGATGCGAGAAGTGCTGGGATATGAACTGTATTCTTGTCAGAACATGTGCAGTCCGTGACCTCTGACCGGACTGGTCCAATAGTTTGTGGGGGTGTATATTGTATCCTTACACGCTTCCCCCCTATGTAGAAGAACTTAACTTCTCCTGAAGTTAACGATACATAATGTGGTGAATATATCAACTATGTAACATTGTTGGAACGACTAATTAACTACAGAATATAATGACGAATAACAATAATGGGATAACGAAACAACAAGAAAAATATATAACGTTAGGTATATATGTAGTTGTATAGAACTGTTCAGTTCTGCAGGCTGGTTGGTCCAGTTCTGCCCACTAATAGTCAAGTTTGGCAGAAGGACTGGTCTGCGGGTAATCCCATGGGTCCGCAACGCAGTAATATGTCCTGCACAGTCATGTGTCTGCGGGTAATCCCATGAATCTCCGCAACGCAGCAATATGTCCTGCAAAGACCCTTGTCCATCAAGGGGTGAATACATGTGGAGCTGGATGAAGGGCGGTGTCAGTCCCTAACAGCCACAAAGTCGTCGTATCGGGACGGTGGTCGCACCCGACGACCTCTTCTCGTTGTCACACCAGTCCCCTGGGACGGCGGGTTGGAGGCGTCACGCTGATTCGCCGCTGGTGACGGCGGGTTGGAGGTGTCACGCTGATTCGTCGCTGGTGCGGCCCGCAAGTTCACAGCATGATCCCGCTGAGGTAGGGTATGGCATTTTTTTAGCCTATTGTAATGGACTATTTGTTTTCGGCCCTTGGTGTCTTGGATCCGATACGTGACGCCTGGTTCACCGTCTTGGAGGAGCCGCTCTATGACAGTGTAAGGCCCCTTCCATTTGGGCTTCAGCTTCTGTCGTACGGTAGTGGGATCGTGGAGCCATACCCGTTCGCCAGCCTGATAGGGCTTGTGCGAGACGTCGACGTCGTAGGCCAACTTCTGTTTGTTGCTTGCCTGCCGTGTGTTTTGCCGCACTTGTTTGAAGGCTGTCCGGAGGCTGGACGCCAAGGACCGGGCGTAGGCCATTGAGGTGACGGTTGATGATGCCTGCGGGTTTGGGCCGAATATCACATCTGCCGGCAAGTTCGCTTCCCTCCCATGGGTGAGGAAAAAGGGTGTGAAGCCTGTTGAGGCATGCACCGAAGTGTTATAGGCGAGCAGGACATGTGGGAGATGATCATCCCAGTCATCACCGGTGGTGGAGACGTATTTGGAGAGCATGTCTTTCAGTGTTCTGTTGAATCGCTCCACCAAGCCGTCCCCTTGTGGGTGGTAGGCGGTTGTACGGGTCTTCTCTATGCCCAGTGCCTTGTAAAGGGATCTCATAGTCTCCGCTTCAAACTGACGGCCTTGGTCGGAATGTAGGCTTGTGGGGATGCCATGTTCACGGATGAAATCCGTGAAAAGTACGTTGGCCACCGTCGCGGCGTCCTGGCGTTTCAGGGGGTAGGCGTTGACGTACTTTGTGAAGAAATCCTGTACGACCAGGCAATAGCGGTGGCCATGCTTGGATGTTGGCAGTTCGGTGATGTCCATGGCCACCTTGGAAAAGGGTCGGTCGG